ATTTTTTCATAAGCGCGCGTATGCTCCTAACAAATCTTAAGTACTTTTAAATGGTTTAATATTTAGTTTTTGTGTGCATAGATGTGCTTAGGGTTACGCCCCATTGAAAAAATGTCATCATCCTTTTTCATTATTTTTATGTAAAAGCAACTATGTAGTACATTCTAGATAGAAGGTATTACATAGTTGCTTGAACACAGATGTGTTACTTTCTTCAATCTTTGCTTTGCACATTTCTAATAGGTATCAGCACAATAATTTCGTATTTATTTCAATAGAAACTTCCTACCGAAGTCCGTCTTTTTGTGTTCTGTCACTGTTCAAATATTTTCAGGTTAATGTTAAAAAATAATAATTTGCAAAACTTGAATGTCGTAGCATCGTAAAACGTATTTACGGTTTAGAAACAATTACGTTACAAAACCTAAATTAAAAAACAATTTTATATAATGAATAGAATCGTCAACTTAAGGTGAACGGTGATCTAGAACGTTCGCGTCTTAATTTGAATACAATACCACCCGTTGTGGTTAGCTCATAACTATCGCAAGTTCATTTGCGTAACTTTCAAACGACACATTTAGTGCATTTTCTTATTTAACATACATATTTCTGTAAAACAGTTAAAGAATTTCTGTCGGCCGATGGGTGTTCAATTTATTCTAAGTGGGCGGTACAGAAAAAAATAGTTTGAGAACACTGTGTCAGACCATGATAGGGGTCGATTGAAGACAGAGCCCACTCTGAGATGGGGTCACCGAGACAAGCATGCGCTGCGTTTTCACCCACCAAATATGGTGTTACCCTGCTAAAATTGGCAGCAATGATGGCGGTTGTTGAGTGCAGGCCCTAATAGCTCAATAAAGGGATCCTGCAGCAGGCGGCAGTGGCTCGCAGTGGTCTCGAGTTATCGCGGTAGAACCGGGAGTTTGCTGAGTAAGCGCTCCATGTGACTATCGCCATTTATACCCGTGACAGTCGAGGAGGAAGCTGCGGTAATGTTCAGGCTGGACCGAGCTGTCTCCGATTACTTCACTGACCAGATGAAGAACTTACGCTGATCTTCTGCGAAGCCTGTCCGCTCGGCCCACACCGAAAGTTGCGTGCCTCTACCATAGTACTCCTTTAGTGCTTATCGGACTTTAGTTTATATGACAAACTAAATCTTATTGAAAATTCCTTAAAGCTATTCTTTGTAAAAGAATCAACGAATATATTGCTATAATGCTCTAAGTTCTAATTGATACAATGACGCGAAAATGTAATGTAAGATTGATTATTGTAATATTGACAGAGTTTACTACCGTTTAAGAGCATTGATTCGTTTCAAAGCGTTTTTATTACTTTTATTTTCGATTCAAAGATCCAACCGTTTTTAATATAAAAAGTAGCGAAAGAGAAAGAGGTGTTTCTCACAAAACGCGAGTTTTAACAGATTTCTTTTATTGGGATACATTTTTGTTATAAAACTATTCCTATGATCCATTTAGACCGCGTCAGTATTCGTAATTGCCTTCGAAATGAAAGCATTGTAAAATGGCATAAAGCTTATTCTCCTACGAGTGTAAATTATGACGAAATAAAGCATTGGAAAGAATAGATTCGTCACACTCTCTTCGTCTGCACTTTCATTTTCGCTAAGCGTTCACTTTAAAAAAATTAGAAATGTAACGCCGCCTTCTGCATCCTCTAAAGACTCTAAACACTAATAACGCAGTGTCTTGAATATAATTATGGTCACTGTAGTATTTCTAGCTAAAATCCATTATGATTCCGTATAAATCTTCGTGTTTTATAGAAAAATTAACTATATTTCTTATGAAAAGTATTTATTATTACTAATTGAAGTATTATCCATTAATGTCGATGCAATTTCGCTACTTTAGTGGATGGTCATTGATGAATCTTTTGACTGCTACCCTTGTATCACAAGTGAGAACTACTACCCTTGTATCGGCGTTTCAGTAAAGTGGGCTTTGGTTACCACACTCATGGTAGGTGCATTGATTGTAACATTAAAAGAGCTACCATAAAACTTGTGAAATATCTATATGATACTACATCATATTAACATAAAATAAACACATTTAAATACATATTGAATACACATAAAAATTTAGATAATTTTATAATTAACGATACAGAGAATATGAGAAATTTCTGAGTATTTGCTCGCGGGTTTTTGGTTTTAAATACAAGGCGACACCAACGAATAGACTGGACAAAAATGATGTTTTAGTATCGTATTTGTATATAATATCATTGCTGGACAAAGAAAGATGAGTGCATGAAACTAGTACCGCGAGATAGGTTTTTATCACACACGTTGAGTTCTGCTAGGTACCAATTTCGACGTGTTTGGAGGTTTATCCTTTCCTTCTGCTATATCTTCTGTTCTTATCTGTTGTTTGAATTGACCGTTCTGATCGTTAAGAAGATCATTCTGGTCAATTCAGAGAGTTTAACCATTCTTTTGGCAACTAAAATGAAATTTGAAAAGCCATTTGCTACAGCTGCTTAGTTGACATCTGCCGTGATCAGTGTTTCAGAAACCGGGCGTAAGAATCGTAATACTTTTCCATCTTCAACAATTACTTATAATAATTGACAAATTAAAATACTGTCCGTACGAAATCGGACCTCACCGCCCACTGAACCGAGTCCAGCTATTTATTAACTGTGCCATCCGATTTAACAATGTTATTTCATAGTAATAGAACCATATGCATGAAGATACGATTTTTAATACAATTAGACGAAACCACAAAATTCAAATCGCTCGCCTTAAATAAATGTCTATTATACCAATTCATTTTATAATTTTAGGTTAGATATTTAAAATTAATTTTTGCTTTTAAACCTTTTGCAGTATCTGATAATTTATTATTTTAGTGCAATGCAAAATGTACTGGTTCTTATGAATTGGGTCGGTCCTCGTTATAAATTTGATTTCTCTAATTTCTCTAGGTTCTATATGGTTAGAAACTAGTATAACGTTATGATCGTCCATGAAAGCAGACTTAGATTTCTTCGATAAAACGATAAGCCTTACAAACTTGTTCACGCCCGTGAATTAAGTTAGGGAGTGAATAATTGGGTTAAAAAAACACTTAGTCCTTGTTCAAGGTACTAGGGCAGCAGTAAACAGTAAGATTCAATTGTGTAACGAAATTTTAATCGTCGTTTGTTTTAAATTCGAGGTTGATGACCGACATTTGCGTTGAAATTATTTTAGACTTGCAGTACAGTATTTCTATTGACGTACGAATGTCATATATAAATATAGCAATGGCGAGTATACAGTGTCCATTGCAAAACTGATCCAGAATGACGGATTTCATCATTTCTTTTTGGTAAATTTTCACATACATTTATTCTAATAAGACCAAGTTTTGGTTTCTTGCGCTCTACCGCATCAGAACCTTAAATTCCAGTTCCTTCAAACAGCTACTACAAAGCAATTTTATTGTATCCCTAATTTAATTGAAAATGGAGCAGAAAATGAATTGAACATTACCTACGTCATTGTCATAAGTCACAATAAACAGTATTACAAAAAATGCTATAAGCATGCCTAGAAGAAAATAAAATTAATACATTTGCCCACTGATCTTTTTAACATCGAGAATATAGGACTAATGTCACTAAAATCAAATCTTGTCAAATACTATATTAATAAAATGTAAAATAAATATACTTATAACATATTTAAATGTAAAAATATTATTTAATGACCAGTAGGTATTCCACAAATATTGATTCTCTGTTTTTACGCGAAAGAAAGTCCCTTGACCAAGCTGGAAATGGTTCCAAAAGTCTGGTATTAAAAAAGTAATCTATAAGTGAATAATTTATCAACGCAGAAGTTAACCATTTGGCAACGGCAACTCGTACGTTATTTACTGTCGAATTTCTATTTTAGTTATCGAATTAGGATTACGCAACCGCGATATATTATAATAGCGCCGCGTAAATGATATGTGTGAACGTCAGGTGATATTTTTGTTTGTCTCGAAGCTGACCTATCGGCTAAAGTTACATACGATATATCGCATAACGAGCCTTTTGGACTGTCATGTTGTGAAGCATATACTTTGATGCTATAAAATATTTTTTTCTCACGTGAGCGGAAGTAGAAATTTTACCTGATGTTGAGTTATTACCGTCGTTTATCTATATGTATAACGACGCCTGTGTGGTTGCGGATGTATTGCCAACATGCAAAACAGTGGAACTGAAACTGCAGATCAGCATAATATTTTCACTTAACGCTAATTTTCTGTGCGGCCATGGTATTTGCCCATTTGTGAAACAGAAGAAGCTGCTGTGTGGATCCTATCATAGCAAGAATTATCAACATTATATTACTTACATTATATTGATTGATGACTAGAAAGTTTTTATTGGTTAGCCTTGATTGCGTGGCTTGTATTGAAAAAAAAAAATGAACGGCTTAGAGCAAAAAAAGTGCTTTTGATCTATATGACTATGGATAATTTCTAAAATGTCTACGTTATTGTATGTTAATGATACAGTTTAGACGACGAAAAGTACGTTGTTTATGTATCTTATGTTTGTATCCGTGTTTATTTATAAAAATCGTGTCGTTGAAACTCTGTCTTATCGTTCGAAACGGGAATTAAGGATCGCAAGTCCGAGCGGTCTTAACAACTGGCTGGAGTTGGAATGTGGATGTATTAAACTTTATAAAGGTATTTTAACTTTGACACTATTGGGTTAGAAGGAGACAGGCTATATAGGTAACGCTATCCCTTTTCGTGTTATTTAGTCTTCATTAGTATTAGCTTTTAGTTTCAATTGAAACGTGACGTGTTTCAAACGTTACCCTTTCCACATAAACAAAACTAAACAACGGAAAACTCTAAGGTGCACCCGACTGAGTTTAAACCCGACACTTTAAGATCGCAAGATCGAGTCCGAGCCATTGAGCCGTCACTGACTCCATGTTTTATTGTGCAATTATTTATTGATGCTTACAGCGTAGAAAAACGACATCTGAGATACTCGAACGTCTGGAGGCCAACATAAAGAGCATAGAAAGGGATGGCCAGTACAAGGAACAGACGCACAAGCGCGTCATCGGCTACGTGATGGCGTATTCAGTGGGGCTGTACGTCCTATTCGCGATACTATACTACTACATGTACGTGGGCAGGAGCCAGCACCTGCTCCATTCGCTGCTGTACGCGTCCCCCCTCCTCGTGCTGCCAGTGCTGTAAGTGCAGAAAACTATTTCGATTTAACGACTAGAACTAAGAAAATGCTTAAATAAGTAAAAGTTGATTAGAACGATCAGAATGATCAATTAAAAGAGTTTAGCCGTCCTGTTGGCAACTCAATGCATATTTGAGGAGCCATTTCACAGCTCATTAATTAATTTCTACGATGATCAGTGTTTTAGAAACCGGGCGTAAGTGAGTAACGTTAAATAAGTAAAACTTGTTTAGTTGTTAAATAGGCGGTCGCTCTATGGTAGGGATTCTCAGCTCGTCCTGATAGGTGTAAGGTTTTTTTCCGTTTTTTAAGACACGCAAAACGAACTTTTGTGTCTTTGTTGGATGACCTTTCGCATTTAGACGTCAGAATTAAAGATTCAAGATTTAATAAGAGATACATGTACAATACATGCATGATTTGTTCGAGTACCGACCGGTCGTTTTTTGCTGGGAGCAAAATGCAAATGGGAGCATTGCTTTCGCTGTTCGCTTAAACGAGAACGAACTAAGGACTGTGTGCAGTGCAACCGTATACGGTCATTAACATCCATGATTTACAAAATTTTTTGAGTTAAAATAATTTAATCTGGACAAACAGTCAGATCTGAAACAATTATCTGTAGGTCACACAAATGGTTACCCTTGTACAAATCGATACCCACAACAACCGCCGCCGTAGTCATCGAATTTCCGATGTATGATTGATTATTCATTCCAGTGCCTAGAATTTGATGACCGCTCCAAAAACTTTGAATTTGCCCTACTATATTACTTTTTTTTTTTTTTTCAATATATTTATTCCTTTTAGAGTATTTTTCATACGTGCTACAATATCGTGGTATTACAACTGGTCCTTGACGAAGAACAGAGCGAAACTCAAGAAGATGAGGGATGAGAAAAAGAAGATATTAGAAGAAGTCATGAACACTGAAACGTACAAGGTGAGTCTGAATCCATTATTGAAAACGGATTTTGTTTTGAAAAATTTATAGTTTTGATATTTTAGTACTTTATAGGTATTATTTCGTTGATAACTTTTAAAACAAAGACAATAACATCTAATGTTTTCCTGTTTAATGTTTTAATGTTTCTTTAAAGATTTCCGTTTCATTATCCTAACCTTATCAAGTTGATCTCAAAGTATTTAGTTAGTGGCAAAATCACTAACGTATCAGTGGAGCCAAAGTAGGGAAAAAAAAGATTTCCGTTAATACTTCAGATATTACTGCAATCAGTTTGTCTTTAAATGTCTACTAAATCCGGCCGTGAAATTAAAAATATTCACACTCGCCGCAAACGCGTAGAATCGGCGTTTATTTCTTCGTTGTGGGGCCAATAAAAGCTCGTTCTTACGTCAATGAAGCCAGATAAATGTCTGTTACATTTATTTGCTATAGTCGATTCTAATCCGAACCACCTTCTTCTATTAGGGTGAGCTAAATGATCAAGCATTTAGCCGTTACGATTAGAAAATAGCGAGTCTAAGATATGCTAAAGACGTTTTTCTGGAAATTATTCATTAACGCACATACAATATGTAGACTGCCTATTCAAATTCTATCAACTTCTGGTATATATTTTAGAGAATATAATTAGGGATAGGAGATAATTATTTATCGATATAGTAATTTGTACAATTTTGTGTTGCAACCGACCAACGAAAATGGAACGTGCGAGGTACATTTGAAAAGAAAAAAGTTACGAAGATATTAAATCTGCTTTTTTCTTGGTTTTGCATTGTATTTAATCAACCATGAAAACTAACCATATACGGTTTTGGATATAGGTATACTGCGATTTAAAGAATACGACCATTTCATACGAATGGGTCACATACACTGATGCATTTAAACGAGAATTGTACGCCTGTGCATCGGCATGCGACAAAGCGTGCCCGTACTAAAAAAAACATATTTAGTTTCGTTTCTCTATCGCTGTGTATTCATTACATCGCAGGTGGCGAAGGAGATCCTCGACAGATACGGCAGCCCAGACGAGCAGTCGAACGCGCTCAAGCCACTGCTGCCGGCCATCGCGGCTCCCGCCAACCCACCAAGCACACCCGCACCAGGTAGATCAGTCCTTAGAAATTGGCTAAATTTCCTCTTTAGACCATACAGAGACGTCCGTTACGATTACCGCCAAATTGCCTGATCCCGTGTAACGTTTCCGAGATAAAATAATCATCAAAGTCTTTTTATCTTTTTAATATCTATGTAGGTATGTGTGCGTATGAATATGGTATAGATTTGTAGAATATCGATACAATTTTTTTTACTGCCAACTGAATTCACAGTTGTTACAGAAATCATTATAAAACAATTACTATGAGTTAAGAATTTATTTCTCAAAAACGCGGAAGAGTACATTTAATCGTCTACCCGATTTTTTTTTTATGTAAAAAGTTGCCAAACGAGCAGACGGTTCACCTGATGGTGAGTGAATATCGCCGCCCATGGACATCTGCTACACCCGAGAGTTACAGATGCGTTGACAACCTTTTGAAAATTGGGCTCCGGCTACCTCACTCACCAGACGAAACGCGAAAGTATTTGTCATACTTCCACTTTACGCTGGACTTCTGTGAGGTCGTGGTACTTACACGGACGGGCCTGCCCATTCGTGCAACAGCCGAGGCTGCTGCGTGGCCCTACCACTTTTTACTTCTTACTTAAAGAGAAAGATGTGGTGACATATTTCCGTTCGTATTCAATATATATTGTATTTCAATGCTCTCTGTGACTCGATTCTCTAAACGGTTAAGCTAATTTTAGGTACAATCCAAACTTGGGTTTAAATATATCAATTGCTGTGGAGAACACGATAAGGTATCATTAATATTAAAAAACATATATATGTGAATTTGAAGTCCGCATATTTTACAAGTTCATATATTTTCGCATAAGCATTCTGTTACAATTTCACTTTTATAATAATAATATGCGCTGGTAAGGTGGACCAATTCGACATTAAATTCGATAAATTTATTATGGTAGTTTTGAGGATATCTTTGTGAATCTTTCAGTTAGTTTTATTATTTCAAACGTCCTATTTTTCAATATGCCTAAATAAAGACATTTTCATATTTTAGGTTTCGATTCGTTCTTGTGACAATTAAAACAATTTCTTTATTGACCATTTATTACCATGACCATTAATGTAAAACGTATTACGTTTAATAATTTTGTATAAGTTCCCACTATCTCTTTGATTTTGAAATTGTATGGAATAGGATTGTGATTTTTATTTTTATTAAAATAACCTATAGTATTTAAAACCCGCCAGTGCTAGTGCATTTATTTGAATTCAAATATACATTTAATTTTTAATAAAGGTTATATAAAGTTGCTTAGAAATTAATAAAAATTAAATATATTAATCATTTTAAGAATAAGTGGTGCTAAAATTATTACATTATTCCAATTGTTACTATGTACACATAATTTAAGAAGTATTTCGGAAAAATTCTGTGATATAAAACTTCAAGTTTTGACAAAAAATTATTTTATGTTTAATCATAATTTGCCTTTTTATATAATTATAGTGAAACTTTAGTTAAGATTTGCATGCGATATTAATTTTGAAATAAATGTATAACGTTTTATTTGTAACATTTTTTTTAATATTATTAATAAATAAAATGATTTATAATCTTGATTTTTTTGGTTCCCATAACCTTAGCATGGAATTCGCCTGTAGTACGATTAAATTGCAAATATTAACTAAAGGAAATATTAATATGAAATCGAAAAAAGCCTATCAGTTATTACCCGCACGTTGTTTTGGCAGAAGGAATATATTATTTTATTTTTGTACATATACTAGCGGATCAGACAGACGTTGTCCTGTACGACTTAAATACAAAAACTTAAATACAAAAACTGAAGTGAACCGTATTGTGAATCTAAACCATTCTCGACTCGACCTCAAGACACAAAAAATTTCATTAAAATCGATCCAGCCGTTTCAGGAGTCCAGTAACCTACACACGTACAGAAGAATTATATACAGCATGTCGTTACAACCGCTATAATAAATGAACACACGTCTAACGCTACTTGCCAATAATCATAAAAAAATATAAATGTTCAAAAAATCCATAATTAAAAAAAAATTCAAACAAACTAATTAAATAAAAAAGAAACAAAATTTGTAACATTCTTTACAACAACAACTGACTGATTCATATATTCAGAAGATTTGTCATTCGTTGCCACAGCGTCACATCTCTCTCGTTCTAACAGTATGTTTTATCTCTTTTAAATTCATTCAACCCATTCATATGCTTTGTGACCTTTACAAATGAACTTTACGTTACACTTTTATACGTAAGGTTGTTCTAAAATTGTTTGTTTGGAAAATTTAATTGCTCGGTAAATATTGATGTTTAAATAATGTAAATGTTTAATACAATTTTAAAAAGCTATCCACTGTATGTGTGTTCATTTATTGTCGCGGTTGTAACGACACGCTGTATATTATACCTCCACACAGTAACATTAGAACGAGGTGTTCTAATGTTACTGTGTGGATGTATTTGGAATCTTACCGTCTTTCAAATATGTGATGTCATTTAATAGCAGGTACTAGAGTCATTTGTCTGCTGGAATCCCCGTGGATATGATGTTAAAATAACAGAATATCCTACGGTTTAAATATATGGATTTGGTACAAAGTTAAAACATCATTACATATTATATTTCCGTCACTAGCTCGCTGTCCTTTACCCGGAAACACCAAATTATTATCAGTTTCACAATTTTCGCGATACGTCAATAACAACTATTTAAATAACGAACATTTAACTAATTGTTTTAACGCCCGAAAATTTAGCCGTTCACTGCAAAACGCTGATTTATATGGGTCAAATAAAACCGGTTATGAAACTTTTTTAATTTTTTATTATGTCAGCATTTCCTACTTCTCTCAATGACTTAATCTGCAAATATTGCTCATAAAAGTTTGAGACTTCGAATTAAATACATGTACGAAAGAAAAATGTGTTATTTAAGAGAAGTAGTCAAAGTCAAATAGTTAGTTATAATAGAGCTTTATTCAATATAGGCTTAACTTAAGCTCTTATTGAACGTCAACAAAAAAAATCTACCACTGGCAGATTAGACAGTAATCGACTGTAGTACGACCACGCACCGAACTTGTGCGTTTCGTCCGGTGAATGAGGTAACCGAGCCCCACTTTGTTAAAGGGTACTAACGTATCTGCTACCAGACGGGTGTTGCAGGTGCCCATTTTATGTGAAAGGTTGGCAAGCGAGCAGGTTGTTCACCTGATGTTGAGTGATTACCACCTAGACATCTTCAACACTTGGTCATTTCTTTGACACGCTCCCCTTACTAAGCAAAAAAAAAAAAAAATGCACAGGCTTGATCGCCCTATGACCGTTGGACGTTTATAGCAAAAAAGCGGTAACATCAATTAAATAGTTTTATTTAACGGGTTCGTAGCACACGAGTAAAAACGAGGAATCATTTTGGGAACTTGCACAATATACAACTATAAATAAACACGTAAACTAAATGTCACATGAAAAATGATCGCTTTATTCAACTGGCGTGTGAAGAGGAGACTTGAACTATGCTTGAACTATTTCTTTCATACGTCTCATGAAAATTAGTAGCTGTACCTACTTTTCAACCGACTTCAAAAATGAGTAGTTTCTCAATTCGACTGGTTTTTCTTTATGTTTGTTACCTCAGAACTTTCGACTGATTGATAGGTTCACTCAGGTCATTTGGATGATTTCTTTTTTTATTTGAAAGCTGGTGCTTCCCATGTGTTCACATATTAATTTCATTGGTATTGGACGTTGGACTCCGGAGATACTTAGGGAATTCCTGAAAATCAATTATAAAATGAACACAGAGAGAGATTTTTTAAGTCGGTTTTGTTTTTCGTCAATAAAAAATATGGAGTTGTACGTGAGAAGGTAGAAGGTGACAAGCTTGCCGGCGGTTCACCCGCTGCCAAGTGCCAACCGCCACCCATGGACATTTGCAACACTCGTAGGATTGCTGATGCGTTACTATACCGTAACTGTTAGTTATTACTGGCCACCTGCAGATAACTGGAGGTTTCAAATTCGAAAATTTGTACTGTCTTGTGTGTGCCATGCGCTGTCGAGAGAAAAACCATTGTCTTCAAGGAATTTATCATTGATTGAGACTAAAATCTCCCATCAGTAACAAAGTGGGCTGCGGTCACCTCACTCACCAGACGAAACGCTGAAGCATAACACTTCCAATTCACGTCGGCCTTCTAAGAGGTATTTTTACTCTCTCGGACGGACCCGCCCACCCGTTCGACAGCAAGACTGTTGCGCGGCCCTACCTCAGTTGAAATGGGGTATGGGTCGCTGTGTTACCCAGTCTGTTTCAAATCAACTAGTCTGGAATTCCCGATGGACCAGTAAAGACAGTCGGATAGCGTCCGACTTATCAAGCCCTCATTTCATGAAACGTTTACCACTGTTCACGAACGGTTGTTAGCCTTTATTGCATGGTACAGGAGTTCAGACGATGGATGACAAATTACGCTGCCCAGTTTGTGTCTTCATTGGTATTTTTTAACATAATAACAGGGGAAGACAATTTTTTTTAGGTTTCCCGTAACCAAAGGTTAAAACGGGACCCTATTACTGAGACTTCGCTGTCTGTCTGTCCGTCCGTCCGTCCGTCTGTCTGTCACCAGGTTGTATCTAATGAACCGTGATAGTTAGATGGTTGAAATTTTCACAGATAATGTATTTCTGTTGCCGCTGTAAGAACAAATAGTAAAACAGAATAACACATAATATATCTAAGTGGGGCTCCCATACAACAGACATGCTTTTTTTTTTTTTTTGCTTTTTTATATATAATAGTACGGAACCCTTTTCTGTTTAAACAATTGCGAGTCGGACTCGCACTTGTTTAAACATTTCTTTTACCACTTGATTAAACATTTCTTTTACCACGTAATATTTTCATTATGTTTATTGTCCAAAAAAGGTTTTTTGGAAGAAATAACTGTGGGTCAAAAAGCTACCTGCTATATTATTTTATTTAAAACTATTTTTTTTGTTATCCGTGTCTTGATTTGTTGGGCCTGCTATATACGTACATTTAATATACTGTTTTAAACTTCGTATATACACAATAAAAAAATATTTGATGTTCTATTAATAAATATTATTGATGTTTATTTTTATATCGCCAATTCTCTCAATCACCAAGATAAATATGGTGTCATTTGTTATTCAAAGATTATAAATAAGTATTGTACGCGTGTGTTATTGTAAATGCATACAGAAGTTTCACAGAGTCATTTAATGAACTTCATTGTAATTTTTATTATAGTAATTTTTCTTTCGAATTATGGAAACTTTATGTTTATCTGAATTTAAGATTTTGAATATCATTAAATGAATGAAGATGCCAATAAACTTGTTATACAGGAAGGTTTTTCTAACTGTATCCATTTTTTTTAATTAAATTCTAGGCATAATTAATGTTATATAAAAATGATAAATAAATATTTAAAATAACTCTGAATTAATTAATTACATTCATTTTAACTTATCTCAAAATGTGCGTGATTTATAGGCAACTCATTTATTTTACGCGCGATCATTCATAACTCAAAGTCAGAACCTCCTGTGTGAATTTGGGCACCTTTAGAAAAGCCACCCTGTATGTGTATGACGTTATGGACTTTCCACCAATATGTGATATGCTTACGATGAAAAAAATTATTATATTTGGTTCTCAAAAATATAATGCAAGAAAAAGAATTCGCGGCATACAAAGCGATATTTGTTTACATCGCAATATATATATATATTTCTAGAAGAAAAACTTAGAGATTGGCATAGATTGCATCGCAACAGCTACTAAGTTATTTTTTTCACACTTTTAAGAGATTGACCTATAAATAAGGTATATTGGCGCAAACCGCTAGCGTCTCTTCTCTCAGCGATCGGCAAAGCACGGTTTGTTTCGAATAAGCATATTTAAAAGCCTTGCATTCATTTTTTATCTTGCTCTGCATCTACTTTTTCTAAAAGCTATGCTGCTTTCCGTTGTAATTGATATCAATCTATTTTGTATTATATGGGGACATAATAACTTGGCTTAGGAACCGCGGAAGATATATTCGAGTAACAACTTCAAACTGACTTACTAGTATTTATAATGCCAAAACAATATGGTAATGAACATTTAAATAATTTAAATAAATGTTCATTACCATATTGTACGCTAATTACGCTATTTACGTTTAAATTAAATAAGTTAAACGTAATTAGTGTATATTTAAATATCAACATCTTCGGCTTCATAATTATCCCCTTGCCTTTATCCCACCTGAAGCATGTGAAGCATGTTGTTAGTGGTATTGGCTACGTTATATCTGGCTTCATATAAACAATCATCTGTGGTAACATAAATACTTGTCCCGTGTGGGAATCGAATCCACGATACCCGGCGCCGAAGCGTGACTGCGCCACTGAGCCAAATTGATCATCTTCTGTTTCTGAATTTAAAATGTTTTTTTTTTCAAACAGTTTACCTATGTGACTGCGCCACCGAGACAAATTGATCATCTTCTGTTGCTGAATTTAAAATGTTGTTGTTCTTTTTTAAACAGTTTTAATTGTTTTCAGCCACGCCCATGCCGTTGAGGCAAAGGCAGCTGGTCTTGCAGTCGGCGACGCCAGTGAATCGCAACATGAATATGCTGGCTCTCACCAACGCTTCCAACGCTATATATAAGGGGCCTCGACTGAGAGTAAGTGCCGATACCAAAGTCAGATGAAAATTTCTTGTCTCAAAACATAAATGGGAGCTCTCTATGAGCAATTTACCCGGAATTGACGAACAATAACTGCATTATACGATATTTACAACGGGTTGTCATTAAATCCGCTTCAGGCCGGACAGTATATTTTTTATCTTCTCGCAAGCTTTTTAATATTATGTATTACCAGGCAGACTTTAAGCATTATTTTTGTCTATATAAAAAAAAATATACAAACAAAAACAAAAAATCTCTGTAACCTGTAATAATTAGTTAAATGTTCGTGTATTTATTTTATTTTTGTAAATAGCATTATAGCGTACGCTTTATAGTGCGATTTGTTGGACTTCGCTTTTTTCTGTAAGATTGGCAAGCGAGTAATACCACCGTACCATGTAAACTACCTATAAGTATCATTGCCGCCGCCCACTGAAAACTGGCGTGTACGGTGGCGTAGTTGTTAAGCTATTAGCTTCGGTGCCGGGGATTGTGGTTTCGATTCACACAGGGGACAGATATTTGTGTGACCGGGCGTTTGTTCCCATGTAGATTTGACGTCAGGCGGGCCGGTTATAAACAACCTCACTGATGTCATTTACAGTATGATTCACATTTAGTAACGATCCTAGGCGTCTTAAGGGAAGGAGAATTATAACTCGGGTTGGTCGAGTGGACTAAAAGCCTTTTTTGTTTAACACTAGTCGTATTTATATGTTCTCTTCCTTTGTTGTTTTTAGTCTGACCAGTTGCCGCGGCCCCTCCTCGACAATAATCGCACGGCATTGGATAAGGTGGTTGACTATTTGCTGAAGGACGGGCCCAACCACCGCATGGCGCTCATATGCACGGAGTGTTCCTCGCATAACGGTTAGTTTTTTTACCCGACTACGCGACGCAAAGGGGGGTAAGGTGTTTATCAGTCTATGTGTGTATACTTGTTCCTATGTTGCGTTTTAGGGACCAAACGTGTAGGCCGATGATGATTCTAACGTCAATCGTTTCATCTTAACTTTTCGTGTTTCACTAAAGATATGAAAATAATCATGGTATTATCAAAAAGAAAAAGAAGAACTGTAGAAACAATTCAAGGGGTACAATTTGAGGGGTATTGTTGAATAGGTATTTAAAAATGATTTTTAGGTTCGTGACAACATATTTAAGTTAGATTTGCAGTCCAGTCTAGTCATGGTGCAACAAAAAACGAAGTGATGACGTGTTAACTCACTTCCATAGTCATGATTTCCGTTCCGCCGTCTTAAATTATATTTTTACAGAATTCAACATTCATTGTATTATTTATACTTAACATTATATAGAATTAGTTTGTAGCCCCTGTTGTATAAATTATAATAGCGAGGCAGAAGACTTGCGTGAATCAGGTGAACCGCCTGCTTGCTTGTCAACTTTTCACAAAAACTTGAGTAAACGCCAGCATTACATCTTGAACTTTGAGGAGAGAACTCCAGCATTACATCTTGAACTCGAGATTCGAATTTAAACTTTGAATGTGTGCAAAGAGTGTCTGTGATGACTCCGTGGCGCAGTTGTCAAGGTATTGGCTACGGCGTCGGGCGTCGTGGGTTCGATCCCCACACGGGACAACTATTTCTGTGACCCACAGATAGTTGATCTGGATGTTTGCCCGTGTGAAATTTGTGTTTCATCAAACGTCATTACAACACAGGATAATGATATCCTAAAGTAAGGGCAATGTTTTAAAAAAATCAACGAAATTTAACTTTGTATGTGTGCAAAGAGTGTCTGTGTGCACGCAATGATTTTACGCGTGTGTGCGAAGGCATAAATTTAACTTTGTATGTGTGCAAACAGTGTGTCTGTGTGCACTCAATGATTTTACGCGTGTGTGCGCAGTCATAAATTTAACTTTGTATGTGTGCAAATAGTGTGGCTGCGTCCGCTCAATGATTTTACGCGTTTGTGCGCAGGCATAAATTTAACTTTGTATGTGTGCAAACAGTGTGTCTGTGTGCGCTCAATGATTTTACGCGTGTGTGCGCAGGCATAAATTTAACTTTGTATGTGTGCAAACAGTGTGTCTGTGTGCGCTCAATGATTTTACGCGTGTGTGCGCAGGCATGGCGATGGTGGAGGAGTTCGAGTACGTGTCGTACGTGTGTGCGTATTGCGGGCGGCTGAACGCGGCCCGCAAGCAGCGCCCAGCAGCGCCGCCCCTAATGCCCGCGCGGCCGATACTGCCGCGAAGCCCGTCAGGTGATTGAAGTGATAAAAATTTAAATGTACAGTTTCCACGTTCAATAACATACAATATTATCCAATACGTGAAATAAGTATATTTCAAAAATAAATGGTAGTTTTTGGCAGAAAACAAATCCAATTATGTGTTACTTAGTATTACGTAACAGGTTTGGCACCGTAAAATATCGATAGCCATATCATTTATATAAAAGATGTTATGTTATGTTAATGTGTCCCATATCTTTGCTTTTAGGAAACAGCGACGACTCCTCCGCTGAAAGTGCTGGCAGCGACAGCGAGGAAGAAAGAAGAAACAATGTGTCGAATATAGAGACTATGGAAGGTAATTTCGTTAGTTTGATAGATTGTACAATTTGATATAATTTTGGTTTTAAGTATATTTTTTAATTTTATTAATTTTTGTAGTTTTATGTTCATTATTCCGAATTATTATTGTATCTGACTTTTGACATTGTTTAGCTCCATTAAAAACAAAACCATAAAAACGGATGACGTTTTTCTTCGTCGAAAGTCGGCATTTTATGCTTGTGCAAACATGCAGTGCACTGACTAATTTAACAATGGTAGTATTCTCTTTGTTTTTTCAGTAATAAATTTATTATTTACTCGCTTCTTATTTAAGGAAAGATTACCACATGTGGGTATTACGTTTTTATGGATAGTGACGTGAAAAATAATTTAGTTGTTCTCTTAGTAATAAAAATTAATATGATTTTTTGTATTCGCCATAAAATGATGGTAATACAATGAATGTGCTCAGCTTAAGAATATCAAAAGATACAATGCATGATTATCTATAAATTCTTAACTTAATGCAATGATGATTTTGTTTTGTAAAAATCTGCTGTAAGAAAATAAAACTTAATGAAAACGAGACCACAGGATTTGTTGTTGCTCTTTATCCGGACAGGTAACTATTTAGAGGACCCATATACAAATGGGACCTACATGTGCACGCTTTTGCACTTTTTGACTTCCATTAAAGTATAGAATAATAAAATTTTGAATTTGTTGTTAACGATTCTTGGAACTATTTTCAGTGTCTGAAGGCGAATCGGATCGGCCCCCCTCCCAGGCGGAGGAGGAACCGAAATCCCTCATGGAGAAGAAAGAAGACTGAACGACTATTGTCAATAGTTGTATTTTTCCCCTTATATTCCACACGGCTCGGACCACCGAGCGGTGAAGGAAGACCCACTCACGAACTGAATTGATAACGAAACCACACGAAAGACCTTTTCTATTTTCCAATACGCCGTTAAATCGTGCGACAGTTGAGAAATTTACCCCCCTGTCGTTTATTTATAGTGTTTAAAGGTTTAATTGTGTTCTAATCTATAAATTTATCCATGTATTGAGTCAACAGTGATAATGTGGGTGATAGAAGTGTCAGCTTGCGCGGGGTTATTGCGAATTTACGTCACACAGATGGCGTTGGTGTCTGTGGGTTTGCGGGTTTATTTTCACTTTATATTTTCGGTTCTCCAACCGTTACCTTTAATGTTCAACCAAAGAACTATTGATCCGATATCCTTTACCAAACTGTGATCGAAAATCGTTGAAGTTTGATAATCAAAGTGGACAAGCACTGGCGTACACCATGCACTGCAGAAACAAAATAGCGGCACTAAATGTAACATATACGGTCTTTATAACAGAATTAATGTAGAAAAAACAAACTGTGATAATGATCACCGCTGCCCACGAATATGCAAATATGAAAAAAAAAAAAAATATGCACTACTGAAATTGCTTCGTTGCCATCTTTAAAGTGGGTCTCGGGACGTAAAAATATTTTTACTACATATCGGGCCTTCTTTTCTAGTAATCACAGCTGGCCTGCACTGATACAGCAGCACGTGGGCTAGAGCCAACCTTAACAACATAATTCGCTCACTCAATAAGGACATAGACATAATAGACAACAAGGGTCGCCGACCAAACAGTTGCGCCAATTTGCTCGCATACCTCTATCACCCACAAACGATTCACGCGTTAGAATTGACAATGTTAAAAATGATTCGAATATCGATATAATTTCAATTAAGATAATATACAGACGATTGCATGCCTGTTTACAACTTTATCTGCAGGAGAAATTGTGAAACTGATTTATTATGTGCTGAGAGAGATAAACATTGTTTTGAAGTAATGAAACTGTATGTCATTTCCTTCTCTACCTACTCAGGATAATTTTGTAAGATGTGCTGAAACAATATCATACGATATGTAGATTGTAAAGAGTGAGACCTTCGGCGTAAAACTATGCACGCTTATGTAGGTCCACAAACGCTTAAACATAGTTACAGTTAAGTAATAATAACATGATTGCAGTTCAAGTTTGGTGCGACTTTTCGTTAGCAATTTTGCTTACGAAACGTTTATTATACATTATACAACAAATTTTTTACGGTTGCTAAAATAATAATAAAATAATGTGCCTTGCGAAGATTTTCCGCGTTGTCAATAGTTGTGATTTGTGATAATCGCCATCTTACAGATTAATCGTGAATTTTATATGCGAATTAGCAGTTTTGTGCATTTTGAAATTGATTATAACTTATAATAGCGTTTTTTTTACTCGTAACAATTAGAAAATGTAAAGGTGTAGAAGGAAATAGAACTTAAAGATTCCAATGTCTCTTACAATTCCACTTAAGCAACGAAATTTGTTAAAATGAGAAATTCTTAAATATAAAAAAGTTTATTAATCTTTTAACATCTCATTGAAAGACATAAATTTCATCATTGTTATTACTAAATTGTCATCAATATTTCTTAATATAAGAAAATATACTTTGTATTGTGAATTTGTCTCGCCGTTAATTACTGCATTATACTTTGTAAATGGTGTGCAAAAAACTTATTTATTATAATTTTAACATTTTTATTAAGGTATTAATTTGAATCTTATTATAGATTTAGTTAGACTGCATTAGTTTAATAACAGACATGTAATATTATGTTTTGTTCTGCTTACACTGGCTTGCTACTTATAATTTAAATAATTGCTATACACAACTTTCCTTATGTAACGAAACTACAAAACATTAAATTATGCACTTAATTGCTACGTGTTAATGTTTTGATAGAATGTTAGATGTTTTCCAAAATTTTTGCATTCATGCAAGATTTCATATTTTTTAATTTTCAAAATGTTTGATGAGTACCATATCTATAAATTATTTATTATTGAAAACCGTTTTGTTTGGTTTTGACATTTTATCATGAGCCATGTACTTTTGCGTTGTTTTAGAATATCAACGTTATATTTTATAAAAATTCTTGAATATTAGCTATCATTTCTCTAATAAAATGTATAAGTCATCTTTAATAATCTTCAAAAATAATTTTCTTTCAGTTCACGATTTAATGATTTAATACAACAAATATCTAAAACAATTAACCTCAATCTATCAGGAAATAGTAAATGTTGTATTTTTGATTTAAAGAAATAGATTTCAGTTGCCATACCAGGCCAATACCACCAATACAATACTACCAATCAATATGCCTCATTAAAACCCAACTGTAGTACACAAATAGGTAATACAATTTATTACATTCAAATTTTTTCCTTTTCCAAAACGTTTCAAACTGAAATACTAACCTATTTTTAACCAAACTCTTATACTCAATTTGCTTTATCTAGTCAATTAATTGTTTTAATAATTCGAAAAATTAAACATGATTTCTTTATAAGTTTTGTTGCGGGCTTTGGGATAAGAATGGTTAAAGAAACTTATGTACAAATAAAAAAATCTGAAATCCATATCGGTGTTGATTTAATTGGTGATCTGTAAAAGTCAAATATTAAAATATGATTAAACAGTTGTTCCTAATTGGCCGACCTGTTTGACATTTTATTTTACTTAAGTTATTCTTTCATTCTTTTTAAGTCGTCTCTGCAAATTATTGACGATTAAGTTTTAAATTATGCAAGGCAACATTCTTTCTTCAATTAATGCACACTTTATTTATTGAAACAAACATTCATGCAGTTTTTATTTGTAACATTGTTGTTTTTACTTTAATGTTGAAACCATTAAGGTTCAGTTTTATGGCTTAAGCATTTAATGAATAAAAAGCTATTTAATAATGGAGTAGGTATTTGCTTAGATAAATTTATTACTCTTTACATTATTTTAATTATAATAAAAATGTCAACTTTATGTGACTGTAACAACGATTGCGTTATATTAAATAAGTTGGAATTTGTTATTTTTCAAAGATAATGTAAAAGAATGAATAATTTTGGAATAACATTTTTGTTCAAGCTTATATAATAACAGGCAGGGATAGTTTAATGTTATGGAGCTCCTTTAACGTAACCAAGAGGATATCTGAAATAAACATCTACCCATAACCATAACTGAATCCGATATAAAAGTTTCAAATAATTTTGGATAGCTTTTGTGTAGTTTCATCTAAACAAGAGTAAGACAGGTTTTTGCTTTGCCGAGCCGAGCCTGCAAATTAGTCGAAGTTTTTATATTTTTAACTTATTATAATTAAAAAAAAAAAATCTCCGCGATCTTTCAAAATCGGATACAAGTTTTTTATATAAAATCGATGGATACAATCGGACCTTTCAAGATCGTTCTTTCATAATCTCACAAATCGGTGAATAGAATTGTACTATTAATTAATATAGCCTATTAATTTTTAGTAAAACTAAATAAATAAAAAAAATCTATTCAATAGATAAAAAAAATAAGTTACTTTAATTTATATCCATAATCTTGTAACTTGTTTATATTTACTCAAGGCCCTAGGTCTTGGGGAAGGGGAGCATCTAAGGCAGGTACCATTATTTCTAAAGAAATGTTTAATATAATATCAAAGACGTGTCATCCATTAAAGTTGACTTTGTGATAATTGGGAAAATCAATACTAATGACATTATACTCGGCTGTTGCACGAATGGGCAGGCTCGTTCGGGTAAGTACCACGACCTCACAGAAGACCGGCGTAGTGGAAGTATAATACTTTGGCGTTTCGTCTGGTGAGTGAGGTAGCCAGAGGCCGATTTCCAAAAAGGTTGTCAACGCATCAGCAAACCCTCGGGTGTAGCAGATGCCCATGGGCGGCGGTAATCACTTTACATTAGGACAACAGTCTGCTCGGTTGGCAACTTTTTACATTAAAAAAAAAATAATAACTACCGGAGATTTATTGTGAAGGACAATACGGTTGACACATGTCGGGAAAGCTATCGTCCAACAGTGGTTCACCACTGCGATACAATGAAAATTATGATGAGAACAAAGGTATAAATTGAATGCACTTTGCTAATTAATTTCATTTCCATTTATTCATCGAAAGTGTGAATATCACAGCGCATCAGGCGAATCAATCCGTCACATTAGCTCCGTGTGTTCCCTTCTGGCTAACGAAGATTACTTACATAGACACAACCTTGTAGTCAGGATTCACCATCAGCGACTTGCTCTAAAACACAACCTTGTGGAATCGGAAGTACTATAGGTGTATGTGCCCGATCCTGTTCTCGAAAATGACAGTATTACATTATACTGGGATCAATCCGTCATCACTAAACTGACCATAAGGCCCGTTTTGAACGGGACTGTCCCTTTTCTCGGACAGCTGTCCCGTTGTCTCCGAACAAATCTTCGGGTAACAAAATTGTCCCGTTTTCCGAAACCGCGCGAAATTTTAAAACCACGCTCGTTAGACATGATCATGAGCACGGAACCGCGATCGGTAATTCCCGGTTATTCCCCGCATGCACACGCTCTCGGTTACCTAGTAACGCGGTGAGGAGGAGAGGGAAGGGGGCTTTTGTTTCTTTCGATAGGCCAGCCACGCACATGTATTCTGACTTCTTCATGTTTTTGTGTAATGTTCGTTAAATAGTTTTGTAGATAATTTGAAGTTTTGTTGTTTTGAATTTTTTCCTACAGTTATGCCGAAACCCGTTCATTTAATGTAATAAAAAATTTAAATTTATAAGAGTCGTGTCAGTGATGACTTATTGATCCCAGCACAATGTACAAAAGTTCGGTTATTTTTCTTATTTATTAAACCATACCATTTCTGTTTCACAACTTACTATTTGCGATTTTATGTCTGAGTCTGTGGTAGTGTTGCATATCGACAGTCTGCTATCGATAGACAATCGATTATCTATCGATAGTTAAGTAAAAACAATAATATCGATAGTATTTTCACGTGTCAATACTGTCGATACTACCGATAGTATCGATGGCTTTCTAAGTGCCAATACTATTGATAACAGCAATACTATCGATAGTAATGCATGCGATAGTATCGATGGCATCGATAGTATTGCAATTGCTAGTTAGTATAGTTTTTGATAAAAACTCGGTCATATCGATGATTTTGTACTATCAATAGCCGTTTACTGGCTAATCGCTAGTCAAACACAGGTTGTGCAACACTAGTCTGTGGTAAAAGTGTCAACATTAGGGACGTGCACGTATAAATACATCAATATTTGTTTTATCGACATTTTTACACAGTATCGATAATTAACGAGTGAAAAATATCGACATGTCAGATTTTGTATGATTATACAAACAGCCAATGAGCTAATGAGCTCGTAATGATCAGACGGTGGTAGATTAAAAAAAAATTGGATAAATTGAATGTATTTTTCATATGTCGATGAATAAATGATAGTTTTTAGTTGATTTTTGATAGTTTTTTTAATGCATGAGCATACGGAGGAGCACGCAAAGAGTATCTAGTACAATTAAACACGAAATCAGAGTTTCTTTTAAAATAATATGTTGAAATTAACACGAATTCGGTACTCTAAAATAAATATCGATATATCCCGATTAAAATTATCGACTATACATCGATAATTGTATGGAAAGTATCGAATTTTAATATATAGATATTTTTTGGCCATGCCTTGCAACATTGTCTCGTCTTGTCAACGTGCTCAATGACTGACGAGTGAACGAGACGACTGTTGTCAACTCGGTATAAATGCAGAAAAGTACTTACGATAATAATTATATTAATTATCATATTGAATGACAATGCTGCTCGCATTAAACTATTGTTGATCTATTATTGCAATACCAGAATATTCAAGTTACTTTACCAATTTTAATCTAATTACACAGTAAACACTTGAATCGAAAAGCTGTAAATTAAATTTATCAGGCGTCAGTTTTGTTATAAAGATTAACATCAAAGTTAAATGTTAGTTCATTTTATAACGCGGTGGTTTGAACACGTTTGTTCATAAGTGATAAGTAGCAGAGAAAAGCAACTTCGGTGAACTTAGTCGTCAGGAAATTTGTGCACAATGTCAGTGTTAAATAACTTTTCCGTGTCCATTGCAAAGGGATTACGTCGTAAGTACTTTTATTTTCTTTTATATTTTATAAAGCTGTCGGTAAATTATGCTTTAATTTAAATTTCATTTTGCCAAAGTGTTAGGGGTTTGCTTCAGTATTCGGTAGCACGCTTTAACCCATTTTTACTGTATTAGACAATGAAATAAAACTTATTTAAATACCAATGAAACCTACTTATGTAAGTGCGAAATGTAATATATCGATACCTTCATCTGTTTTTTATAATTAATTAAAGCTCTAGTAGTAGTAGTTTGTAGTGTAGTGTAATATGTAATTCTTTTGGTTACGTTTAATATAAATGTTTGGTTCCTAGGGTTGGGTGCTGAAATTTAAGTACACTGTAACTTTGGGGGGGTTAAAAAGGTTTGTACCAAGCACCCTAATGCATTTTTTTCTGCCTGAGACGCGTAAAAAATTTAATTAGCTAGTTTTTAAAATTTTCAAATCTTACAATACATGAAATGTACCATAATTTTGATAAATTTCACTGTTTCTGAAGATGCGAATAATAAATTTTTTTTTTAAATTTTATTAGTCACATATCTGATACAGAGCAATCCAAGTCGGACCGATTAGCTTCGTGGTTTTTTTTTATAACCACCCATTAGCGCTTCTGTTGTTAAAAAATAGGCGTTTCAAAATTTTACCTGGTTCCTTTTTTAATGATTTGAGAATTTGGCAACTTTTAAAAATTTGGAATAAATTAATATCTCTAACTGAATTTTAAGTAAATTAATATTACTGTTTTTGTTCTTACCTTGTTTTATTTATAAATTCCTGTTAATAGAAAGATTGTTTTTGCAGTGGTATTATGCAATAGAACTTATCTTGTTGATGCTTACATCTGATGTCAACTACCATGTTTATAAGCCAATAGAGTGCAATGATTTTAATTGATAATTAGTATATTTCCTGATTACTATTAATATTATTGTTATTGATTACTTATATGTAAGCTTTACCATCTATATATTATTTAAGGCAATGCTTTAGAAAAATATCTTTTGGTATTTTATCGAATATCATTTTATTTAAAATTGTCTTTTGTCTAGGTATTAAAATATCTTTTGTCTAGAATTAGGTTGGCCAGTCACTTACATCTGTAGATTTAGCTAGGAAGTTGTAATTTATGTTGTAGGTTCCTACTAATATAAGAAAACGATTTGTCAAATTTCAACCATTGAAAATTAATAGTTTCAGGGATATTAATTGTAGAATTATTGATTATATTACATTGAAAAAGACGACATTGCTCAGTTTTCCATTGACTTCCGACGAGTTTGGTATTTTGTTTTTTACAGAAATGTTACATTATTATTAGCACACATGCAAAGTTTTTGAGAAAAATATATTTAAAACTTGTTATTTTCACTAAGAATAAGAATTTTACTTCAAAAACTCAATACTGATATAAATATATACCCCAACCTATACCTGTAAACCCCGACACGCTGTGGTCTTGGTCTGTCCTACCCCTAGAGTGTGTTGCGTCTTAGAGCGTGGCAAGCGGAGGTCGCGCTCCCTCCGCTTATGAAAAAAACTATAAGTTACCTACGGATTCTCAGCCCCTTTGGTGAGGGGGGAGCTATGCCCCTCACTCTCCACATTCTACATTTACCTATATAAGTGATCTTCCCTTTGTACTTACTATACTCTGTATTTATCTGTATTTATATTTATGGATAATATGGTCACAGATGTAACTAATATTGATTTTTAATGTTATTACTTCTTGGCAAAAGTGTGCAAATAATTTATTCTGTAAATGGAAAATATGCAAAGTTTTCTTATACCTATAAATAAAATACCGGTAAATAAAATTGGAGTGTCTGTTTGTTAAAATAAACACTTTTTACTAAATGAATATAGATGTGTATGGTATGTATACCAAAATAACATTTTTTGTCTTTTTGCCTGTCAGCATGTTTGTTACGGCTAATTTCTGAAATGGCTGGACCAATTTTGATGATACTAACTGGTAGATAGCTGATGTAATAAGGAGTTACTTAGGCTACTTATATTTTAGAAATTTTATGTATTTTAAGTTCTACGCGGATGAAGTCACGGCCACAGCTAGTAATTTTATAAGATTTGAGAAAGTTTTAATCAAGATCTGAAAGATATACTAAGTTTTGTGAACTCACAAGTAACACTCTAAGAAATTGAATACTTCCTGCCATCCTAACTGGGTGAACAGAGGTTGTTTATTTTATCTATTCTGTCTGATAAATATATATTATTATTTTTATTAGAAAGTACCTCATGCTTGAGTACTATTCCACCAGGTTGTAATTAATGTAGCTGTAAGTGGTAAAAGCATTAGCTGAGTAAAACCTATTTACACTTGGGCTCTTGTGTTAGTTTTCTCATTATAAACTCTGTATTATTTATCTATGTGAATATTATTCTGGATCCATTAAAGTTTTATGATTCACTCAATTCATCACCTATTATTGCAGTATATAAATGATTTATTTAAGAATTTCCGTCTTAAATAATTTTCAAAATTAATGGATACTCAAGTGTTTTTTTTTGTTATATATTTTGTTGATTTACTGTAAACTTAGTTGTCGTAAATTACTTGGAAGCGTGGATTTAGTATCATCAAGAAATCTTAGTATATTTAGATTGGACCTGATCTGAACAGAAAAAAAGCATATATGAGAATAAAAAAATCAATGTGTTAATTTAATGTAGGTATTTACAAAATGCTATAAGTTCATGTTAGAGTTATATAGCATGTATGATATATGATAATATGCCACTTAAATACAAGTAAGGCTGAGGACATAATGATTGTTATTATTAGATATTTATAAGATCAAACAAAGCATATCAAACAAACAACATTTTCAATGACATTGCACTTGGTTTCAATTTATCAGATTAAATAAGGACAGAATACAACAGTGTTGTTGTTTTGCTGCCTCTAGCAGATACCGCTCTATGTATTCAGATCATATTTGAGAGTAATGCATTCTTAAATGAACCCTTAGGATAAATATTTACTATGTATAAAAAGGATGCATTATGATAAAACATATATGTAACCGTTTGGTTTTCTTTTATTTAATATTGCCACTTGTTTTCTTCTTATTATGCTAATGCCTAGATTAAATTTAAAACATACATTATATCTCTTTTCTATTTTAGTTTACAAGTTCAAATTTCATTAGTTATATTTTTATAGCACAATAATTTCATTGTAGCTATGATATCTTAACGGATTTTTTCTAATCTCAACACATCTACTGTCTCTTGGCTGTATCGATTGCTTTGACATAATTCATTTTTGAGGCATACACCAAAGATTTTATAGGATCTATTTATTTATATGAAAAGATAGCAAGTGATCTGGAAGTTCACCTGATATTAAGTAATTACCACTACCCAAGAACGTCTATAACATTGGTTTGTAGATGTGTTGCCAACATTAAAAAAGTGGGCCATGGTTACCTTACTCACCAGATGAAATTTAAAGTATAATACTTTAAATTTACACTGGTCTTCTGTGAGACCATTGTTACTGTGATACGACCACCCAACAGTCTTTTACACGAATGGGCTGATCCATCTGGTAAATATCATCACGACCAAACAGAAGACCGGCGTGAAGTCGAAGTATTATACTTCTGCATTTCGTCTGGTGAGTGAGGTAGTTGTGCCCTACTTTATTAAAAGGTGGCAACGCATCTGCAATGCTGTATGGCCCTACTACAGTTAAGTTCTTTAATTATAGATTAATGTTAATAACTGAACTATGTTATATGTATAATATGTTATCTAACAAAACACTTATCAAACAACACGTGGCATGGTGCTAAAACTAGCTACACTTCCTCTGAAAAGTTGTTCTATTTACTTTGATTATACAGCGTGTCTTTAGAATCGAGACAGTAAATGAACACACATATAGAGGATAACTTTTTAAATTTGTATTAAACATTTACATTCTTTAAACATCAATATTTACAGAGTTATTATGAATGGGTTGAATGAATTTAAAAGAGACAAAACATACTGTTAGAAGGAGAGGCTTGTAATGCGACGCTGTGGCAACGAATGAAAAAGTCTCTGAATGTATGAATCAGTCAGTTGTAGTTGTATAGGATGTTACAAATTTTGTTTCTTTTTTACTTAATTAGTTTGTTTGAAAAATATTTTTTTTATTATGGATTTTTTAAAGTCAATATTTTTTTATGATTATTGGCAAGTAGCGTTAGACTTGTGTTCATTTATTGCCGCGATGGTAACTACACGCTGTATAATTGTCATGTGTATAATCAAAGGCTATTTAATTTAACATCTTCTAGTTAATTACAGTTAATTACAATTTCATTTTAATAATGGTGCTTGCAGTTTTGTTTGTTAATGTTATCTTCTTTTTCCATTTCTGACTACCGAAGTTTTTGCATGCTGGATGCCAAAAATAAGTTACATATTATCGACACAGTGATCTCGCTGGTCGAAAGCAGCGATTTTCTCGACTTTTACTTCAGTGACCTTTCCGCTATACTCACGGCGTGTATTTGTTCTGCAAAAGCGGTTTCTTAACAACGAGTATCGCCTAATTGTTGGTGCTAATATTGTCTGATTGACACATGGTTTCTGTTCATACACTGGCCGACAACTGAGCCTTATCGTTGCGATAAACCTAGGCAATGGGTCGGCAGCGCAATATGTGTTTTTGTTTTCGAAGCAATCGAGGTGACACTATTGCATTGTTTTTCAATTGTCTTTATAAAAATAGTTGTGATCTAAATACATATTTAGTAAATAGTTTTTAACGGCTGTTTTCAATATTCTATGTATCGGTAGATTTGGTTACTATAGGTATTAGACATTAACTCCATTATGCTTACTTCAAAATACTATCTCCAGTAACCAAAACTACAGATATATAGGTTATTGAAAACGGACGTAAGACAATAATGCCTTTGTAGAACTAATTTCGATCACATTATTGTATACACAGACATTCAACTCGACACAGTGATCGCAACAAGGCATCTTCACTTATCATTAAGTTTGTCATTAAATAAGTTCAATAAAGAGTAAAGCGGCATTACTATCTTTGTTATCTATGAAAAACATGACATTTTTTATTTCTTTGTTTAATTTTTTGCATCAATGCTCGCAATTCTTGGTAGAGTTGCGTATACTTCAGGAATTGAGTGAGTTTGGTTTTAAAGTTTAAACCATGCGTATACTTTATAGTGGCCACACTCGCATAGTTACTATGTGAGTGTGACCCCTTCACTAGGCGTCTATAAAGCACGAGTGAATAGGCTTTCACCGAGGTAGCGCGCTTACCACCAATGGCAGCATCGCTACTATCAGGTGGGATGGCAGTCAAGCTTTTCAGCGTTCAGTTCCGCATAAAAAAAATGCATGATGAATTGAATCTAATGAATAATATAAATCAATTATTCATTTTCCATGCGATGCACCGTCGAGTTTACGAATTCGAATCGTGACTATTATGTTGTTTACACAAACTTGAGTATCTATTATCTCTTGCACGTTAATATTTAATAATAGTCAACATTAGTTCATAAAATTCCATTGCGTGACGTACAGTTGATCATTATTCATCTTGCACGATACACTCTGCCCTTTGCGGTCTCTCTGAGGACTGCTTTTCACTGGACTTGCTATATTTGGATTGCATTGTTATCTCAGAGAAAAAAGTTTCCGCTACGAATATCGTGATTGTATTATTATTATTGGCCGGTTGTTCAAATGTCATTGGGTCATTGGAATTGTGTCGATGTTTTTTCTTAAATCTCGTAACTCTTATTGCGTAGATTTTTTTATCTATGATTCGCAAATTAATGTCAATCCGGGAGCGATTAGCGCGCGTGTCACTGAGTTTCCTAGATAAATGGCGACATTGAAATACGCGCGAAATAGTGTTTTGCTAGTTCCATAATTAATTAATTCCATATTATTTTTAAAAAAAAGTTTTTTTTTTCTTTTTTCCTTTCCTTGTTCACTGTCCCTTGTCTAGGTGGGATCGTAACAATAAGTGAATCATGGTATTTGGCAAAGTTTTTTTACGACCGATCGCTTGCCTGACGTGGATCAGACCAATTGTCTGAGGGTCATGATGGGATCAATTATCTAATTACCCATGACACAAATATTTTGCCCGCGTGGGATTTAAGCCCACGATTTTCCACAGTCATTATATAAAAAAAGTTAAAAATAAAATAAATAATTTAATTTTGGTTTATCCTGTAGATATAATAGACTTAACTTTGGTATTCACAAAAAATTCACTAATATACATAAATAGCTGCTGGCCGCGACTACATCTGCGTAGAGGGGTGAAAATTTAGGGTTGTATGTATTTATGTATGGTAAAAAAAAAAGTAGGGGTGGACCACCCTTAACATTTACGGGGACGAAAAATAGATGTTGTCCGATTCGCCATCCTGGCTGATATGCACACAGAATTTCACGAAAATCGGTCGGGCCGTTTCGGAGGAGTTCAATTACAAACACACGAGAATTTTATATATTAGATAGATTATATCAACAATACGTTGATAAGGGAATTAAGGTATAGGTTTACGCACGCACGCACGCACGCACGCACGCACGCAACTTTTTACAATCATAACCATCAGAGAGCAATCGTCATTCCTCTTTCGATGTCAATCAATCTTTACTGTGGTAGGGCCACGCAACAGTCTTCGCATGAAAGAGCAGGTCCGTCCGGGAAAGTACCGCAAGATGACCGGCGTGAAGTGAAAGTGTATCTTCTGCGTATCGTCTGGTGAGTGAGGTAACCGGAGCTCACTTTATTGACAGGTCTGCAGAATGCATGAGGGTTGTACATACGTTAAAAAAATTGTAAATAATTTGTTGAGTATGTACGCGCATGAAAACTTATACTTCTTCGGCATCAGTAAAAATAGTTTTTAATTGCATGCAAATGTTTCATCTAAAGTGCAGAGATTAGCAGTATAAAAATTTAAATTGCATGCAAATAATTAATTATCATAAAATAATAAAAATAATGGAAAACGATATAAATAATGAAAATATGAAAGCGCCATCTACATTCTCTATTGAGAACTGTAACGGGCGAAAGTGATTGAGGATATGCTGCCATCTATAATAAGCTGTTTAGCGGCAGCTTCAAAGGTGTCACTTTTGTGTTACAGTGATGCGCGCATGCATCTTAAAACATCACTCATGATTTTTTCATAACGCGCCCAAAGAAGTGTAACTTCAAAATTTGGGGTTAAAGAACGTCAAGAATCTACTTCATTGTAGTCTTATAATCCAAAGATGTACTATGGTTAAACATTTTTTCTAACTCTGAACAATGTAAAATCACGTATAGGTACTCTATGGGTTGACTTATCACTGGTTTACCTCTTCTTTAAATGTACTTGGCCTTTCTTAGTAATAGGAAACCGTTAAGTGTCCCAACCAGTATAACGAATATAATCGTTTATGTCGCAGTAAGCTCCTCTTACTTGTATTAATTGGTCAACTTAGATGGAATTAAAAAAGCGGCGCTAATTTTTAATTAAAAGTTATCTGATACATTAACGATGAGCATAAACTTTGCACGCGCTCAATGCGACACGGGCGTGCTAAACGCGTGATATGCGGAAACAGAAAGCATGACGTGAAATCATTGTTTGAAAAAGCCGAACTGCGTAGTGCTTTTTGCATGAAATTTTATATGAAGGTAGGAAAGAAACGCGAAATATTCTATGATTACGGATTATTATTTTTTTCTTTCAGACTTTTTTCAGACTTTCCATCGAAATTAATCTGAAATTTATTTAAAATTTTCGCCCATTATCACATTTGAATTAAACTTGTTTAGTATTATTGACAAAATTAAACAAAGCTTAATTATTGACATGGTAATTTTAACGTAAAAATTTACGCGCGCCAAATACATACACGCTACGTCTAATATTTGTTTAGAAAGGAAGTCAAAGGCATTTATGTTTCGTTAAATCCTCGATATTGTTAACATTAAATCCAGCGTGCATTCTAGTTTTAAAGTAAAATGCGCTAGCTTCTGCAGAAGACATTTATTATTAATTTTTTTACTAACAGGCAGATTTTTTGTGAGTAGCTTCATTTTGACGAGACGTCCAACTTTTTTCCTTACAACAATTTTGGAAAACTGTAGCCAACAGGGGTAGCAGAGGTGAAATATGTTGATTTGACGAATTTCAAAATTTTTTTTTATAATGTACGTCACATAAGTTATAACTAAATCCTCGATTCCCGCACGAGACTATTATGTGTAGGTATATAACTATTTGTGTGAGCCACAGATAACTATTTAGGATATGTTTTGAGATGTGTTTGTACAAGTGAAATTTGTGTATGTAAAACTTCCTTACAACACAGGATAATGTTATTATACAACTTGGGGCAATGTTTTCAAAGTGTAGACTACAATAGATCTTATATATTTCAGTGGTCGTTGGCAGTTAAATTAAAAAATACAAATAGACGGACAGTCATATTTTTTGTTATAAACTAAATAAATAATAAATTAAACACTTCTTTTAGGCCTACGACAGAACAAAGAGTTATGCGAGCGATTAATGCCGGAATCTTCAACACGCCGACACGGCTCCAAAGAAGGGAGTACGCGGCTAAAGATGGACAAATGCCTCATCGTGTCGAAGGTTACCAGATATGAGTACGAAAGGTAAGCTGTTTGTGACGCAAATTGTATTTTTTTTAAGTCCGATCCGTTCACACACGATGAAAAGACAGTTTTAATTAAAAACCTGTGGTTGCAACTGTTATTTGAAAGGACATGCCTATGGTCAGTACTATTAAAATAGATTGTACCTAAACACAAGACGTGTTAGAAAAGTTTAAAAGAAAAATATAAATGAAACTATTTTTATCGCGTTTATTATTTTTTTAAATCCGTAAAAATTATTTCATTTATAATGTAGTAGCGTCCCGCCCCGGCTTCGCGCGGCTACAATGTATTATACATTTATATTATACTTTGTTTTATACTATGTAATGAATATAATGGCGTAATTACAGAACATAAATACCAGAAAATTATTAAGTAAATAGTATCGAGTGTTACTTTATTTCGGCCTGTTTTTACAAAAAATAATTATATTCATTCTCGTACACCGATTGAACTAGAGTTCAGCCTTTTTATTATTTCATTATTATTGGCTCTCGATAATTTTAAAGAATAATGCCTTTAAAATTGGTAGAAATCTTAAGTGCAGAGATTAGCACTATAAAACAATTTAAATTTCTAGAATAATGCTTATTAGATGAAGATACAAATTTAAAAAGCCTTTAAAAAGCAACGTTTGGAAACGTAAAGACGTAAAGATTACTTACTACGTACATCTGGCCTACAACCTTTTGGCAGAGAAATATACAAAATATTTTCAACATCACATTTTAGAGAAGCAGTAGTACCAGATTTTTTTGTTGATTTTTAATGTCAAATAACATTGGTGAATGTAAGAAATTGGCAATTTTATACGTAATAAGAATACATCAACTGTAGATATAGGCTTTAAAGTTCTTCTACACGGTCGGGGTCATGTAAAAAAGGTCATCGTTTTTTGCTTAGTACGTAGATTAGTTACTTAATTAATAGTAACAAGGAAACACACCGGGGTAATCGTGTTGCAGCCTTATTTTGCATTGCATTTTATTAACCGTTAGTAGGGACTATGCTGAAATTAAGGGCTATCGCTCGTCATTTGTTAGAAATTTAGGTCATTCAAACAGAAATAAAATGAGATTGGTTACACAATGAAGTTTTCCGACAGCAGTCTCCAAAGTACGCTATTATTGGATGTAAACGTATGTTGTTTATACGAAAAAAGTATGTGTGTACGAGTACTTATGTACGCACGTATACTTTAGCGTAACGAAATAAACATAACGGAACATTATATCCACTCTGTCAGTACAAAAAGATGCAATTGATAACGGTTTTATTAAATAACTTGTACTTGAGTAGTAGACAAAAACCGATATATCACATGTTATATATTTTTTTTTAAGTTTACTCTCATAACTTTTCCCAAACGTGCCAAAAGAAGCATAACTTCAAAGCTGCACGTTCCAATAATCAATAACATTTTTAACAGTGTATTAACATCTCTCATCATCAAAACACTCAAACAGGCCCGTATATGCCTTTATTACTCTAGATAAAACTAATCTAATTTATTTTAATTTTTTTTTCTCAATTACTATGCTCTCTATGTGACGGATACTAATTGGTAACATATTTTCACTTTTTGTCTAGAGATAACTTTTTTTCCGCCTGAAATTTATTCCAAACACCTCTTTATTGTAACCGATTGAATTCTCAAATAACATATACCTATAGTATAAATTTTTGACAAAAACTTCTATACTAACAAGTGAATAGCAACCGGTTATTAAAACATTTACGGCTCTTGGCTCTAAGTTTTTAATACTATCTTTGACCAACTTCATTTATTAGATACTAGCTGCTACCCGCGACTACGTCTGCGTAGAATAGGCTGAAGGCGTAACATTCAGACAGAAAGACAAGTATACACCAAATATGTATATAAATTATAGCCTATTTCTTATTCTGATGAATTAGCTATATTATTGTAAAGTTTCATTAAAATCCATATTTGCGTAAAAGAATAACAAACATCCATCCATACATACAAACTTTCGCCTTTATATTATTAGTTAGATTAGTAAGTAATATGTAGGATAGTAAGGATTATGTCTGTCCCGTGACCATGAACGCTGGAAAGGGTTCGAAACGTCGGGAATTTAAATTAAAATAAAAAACGCGATAAAATCTGTAAAGTAGTTTCATTTAATAGTAAGGATGTTAAAGAATTGCAAGAAATCTGCACGCGACGTAATTTAAATTGAAATAATTTAAAAGCCTAAATTAATTCATTTTGTGTTGTAGTTCCGTTTGTTATTACTTTATTATATACTTACTATATATACTTGTTAAATTTTTTATTGAAAATCCTAAGTAGCGATAAGGTATCGACGAGTGTTTTATTCTTGATAATTTTTATTATCATTCTGCAACCCACGCCCATCTTAATGTGGGACAATAACCTCTATTTGGGTTACCGGTCTCCAGTTGTGTTGTTCGAAGTTAGCATGTGTCCCCCTCTCAAACACTTTCCCATTTTGTTTGTATGATAAAAACCGACGAGTTCTATGTTTACCTTGTTTCTTGTAATAGTATACAATTCACTGAATGGTATGATTTAGCAAAGTCGGTATATTTTTTTCATCATTGCCCATAATGGAAGGAATGCGGTCGTTACCATCGCGACAATAAATGAACACACATATAGGGGATAACTTTTTAAAGTTGTATTAACCATTTAAATTCTTATAACATCAATATTTACAGAGTTATTAAATTTTCCAAAACAAAGAATTTTAGAACACCCTTACCTATAAAAGCGTAACGTAAAGTTCATTTGTAAAGGTCACAAAGCATATGAAAGGGTTGAATGAATTTAAAAGAGACAAAACATACTGTTAGAAGGAGAGGCTTGTAATACGACGCTGTGGCGCGAGTTGTATAGGATGTTAAAAATTTTGTTTCTTTTTTACTTAATTAGTTTGTTTGAAAAATATTTTTTTTTAATTATGGATTTTTTTTACGTTAATATTTTTTATGATTATTGGCTCGTAGCGTTAGACGTGTGTTCATTTATTGTCGCGATGGTAACGACACGCTGTATAACAACAATTAAAATATCAATTAAACCATGTTTTGAAAAGGTTGACAGAAAGTGAATAAATGTCAGCCGTGTTGTATAGACCATCTTTGGTAAAACTTGCAAGATAATATCGATTCATTCTTGGACATTAATCTCTTGCAGGCGCAATAATTTATGGATTTCTAACTCTGGCTTTGGATCACCTCTTGATTTAGATTTTCTTACTACCGTAGTTATGATCGTACCAGAAATAATAACTAGCTGCAACTACGACTTCAGGCCGCCAAAGTACTAACTGTACCTTGTAGTACTTTAGTAAGATGAACAAAGCAAGGAAACTTAACGCGAAACAATCTGTTGACCTTAAGATGTTTTCCAATTGTTTCAGACACAGCCACGACTACGTGTCTGACGGAGAATTGGAGAAGATACTCAGACAGCGCGGCTCCGACTTCGACACGATGCTGACGAACCACAGGGAGCAGAAAGCGTTCGAGGAGGGTGTGGCGACGAGATTGCGAGAAATGGGTCATCAAGTCGAGATGGCTAGCAGGTGAGCGCTTTTACGCGACTGTAGAAAAGCATCCTTTGTCAATTCCCTGCGGGATCTGTTGACGCGGATATTGGGGCGGGGGTATTTGGGGTTCCCGGTCAGAAACGGGTACCCAATAAAAATTCACGTTGTATCTGTCTCCGTCACATCGGCCTGAGACACTGGAACGGGAAGACGCATAGGTACCGCGACCTCACAGAAGATCGGCGCCAAGTGGAATTATAATACTTTCGGGTTTCGTCTCGTGAGTGAGGTGGCCGGAGCCCAATTTCCTAAAAGGTATTCACTTAACATCAGGTAAACCATCTGCTCGTTTGGCAATGTTCCACATAAAAAAAAAAGTTCCAGTGCTTGATGGATATATAATCTGTATCTTGTAGGAATCCTTACGGCCAGGGCGGTTACCAGATCAAATTTTTCGAGAATGGTTGAAGACCGTTAGATCAGTTCCGAAATCATTATTTTTCCAAATACAACATCGGTTTTATTCCTGGCTTTTAATATTAATTTTTTTGTAACTCCAGTGATGTTTTATTTTATATAAAATTCGGGTCCAAGACTTTTTTCGCTTTGGCAGTTTACGTTCATATGAAAATGAATCGCATTTTGCCCGTGATCGTAAAGTCTTTCTATAGTACTAGATACTGTTAGCACAAACAACAACGTTCGATAAAAATAGACTATCTACGGTTTTATGAGATAAAAAAATTGCATGTATTCTTTTAAATTGTGTCGCAATTAAGTGGCCTTGCCGTTTCAATTGAACTCGCCTAACACCAACTTATTGTTTTTTTTGCGTGTAGATTATTTGCACGGTTCCAAAGCTGCTTCAAAGGCATCCGAAGAAAATCGGTGCCGTGGTAAGCGGAGACCCTTTTTGGTGCATACATTTTCACGATTATTGTCCGGTTCCTATATTCCACGAACGGCCGTTAGTTAAATACCTTCGTAACTTTTATAGCGACTCGTAGTAACGACTTCGTTACATAATAACTATGTAACTTCGGTGCCGTGGTAAGCGGAGACCCTTTTTGGTGCATACATTTTCACGATTATTGTCCGGTTCCTATATTCAACGAACGGCCGTTAGTTAAATACCTTCGTAACTTTTATAACGACTCGTAGTAACGACTTAGTTACATAATGTCTATGTAACTAAAGGCCGTTCGTTGAATATAGGAACCGGGCGACAGTCGACGATCATCGGGGTCCCGGTTCGAACCGCACCCTCCATGGCCCTTAGATGACACACCATAGTTAAACGCACGCATGAGCACATGCGCGGCTCTACCCACAGCGGAGGGCCCAAACCCGTGGGATCTGGCTAGCCTACCGGTGCTGTGTCAGATGAATTTAATAGTCTCGGGACTGAAAGCAAAAACATCAATTAATACAAGATACAAGCTTACTAAAACGAAAAATCACCTTAATTTAATTAACTGTAACCCTCATATTAGTGACAAGACCCGCCATGTTTGTCCAGTCAAGAGACCTCTGAGATTGTTAATAATTCATGTCACAATCTTCATAAAAGTTACAAAGATATTATTATCTAAACATAACGCCGAGTTTAAGATGCCACGTTCCACGTGTAATCTAATAACATTTTTTTCGTTTACATAATTCACAACTACGTCCGTACTTGACCTTAGACCCAATCACACTATAGTCTTATGGCAGCTCCAACAAACCGCTTTTATATTTATATAATAGTTTCGTGGTCATCGAAAGTTGCCGATAAGACGTGTTGACCGTCGTCATTGACAAATAATTGTTTTGTTAAAAAGACACACAATCGTCACAAGGTTATCGCGGCGTTACATGCTACAGGGCTGTGTAGGTCACTGGAAAATTGGACCCCACGCTATCGGCTTGATATTCGGGTACGCGAGCAGATAAGGCGATATCATATTAATCTAGAAAATTCTTTTGCAATCGATTTTTTATTGATCTTTACGACATCAATATATTTCAGACTAGCTGTGCCCCGAGGCTACGTCCGCGTGCAATTTAAAATAAATATTTTTTTTTTAAATAAAAGTAGCCTAAGTTACTCCTTATGAAATCAGATATCTGCCAGTAAAAGTTCCGTCAAAATTGGTCCAGCCGTTTCAGAGATTAGCCGGAACAGACTGACAGACAGAAAAAAATTGTAAAAAATGTTATTTTGGTATAAGTACCGTGTATATATCCATATGTATTTAGTAATAAGCGGTTATTTTAATATTACAAACAGGCAATCTTTTTTTAATTATCTGTATAGATACTAAAACTAATACAATAAAGAGTATTATACATGTATTATATTATCTACAGTATTTATATACATACTATACAATGACTATATTTATTTATTCTGTTTATCATGTTGACTCACTTAAACCAGTTTTATGGAAAGTACGTTTAACGTTTTAGTTTGTTTAAATCTGCTTTCTTTGTGTAACTTATTTTATTTTTCTACAAAAATATTAATATTATTTCTCCGTGTTATTAAATTTTTCGGGACCTAATAAAAAAAAATGTCAACATCGTAACTGTAGTAAATGTTACTATTGATAAAGATGATAGTATAGTAATAATTTGCTGAAAGCTACTTCGGCACTGATAAGACGGCGGACGTAAATTAACCACAAAAAATAAATATGTATTGTCCGTTCAAAATATAAAATCTAAGAATATCATAAAACAGATTATCAAAACTATTTGCTTCTGTGTATGCGAAACTTTCTATTTAAAGTTGAAAACTGAAAGTCCCCTTTAAATGTTGAATTGATCCATCGTAAGTTATTTCGGCGTAAATTAATGAAAGGCGTGTTGATTTATTTTTTATCTCTATGTTACAATGGTTATATTCTCATTACAACCAAGACTTATATTCTGATCTAACCTAAAAAGACACTATTTGACAGTCTAGTTCCTTTTAATAGTTAATATTACTAGCAAAAAGCTGAGCTTTGACAGGGCTCACGTAGTTTTTCTAACTGGTAATAATTTTTAAAACAGTTTTTTAAAATTATTATTTTTGATATGAACTTCGGCCCATATCATATTTACCGAACAAAATAATTAATACGACCAATCATTTTAGATATTTTTTTTATTTATAAAACATTGTTTAGTACTTATATTAATTCTGTGACATTATGTTTCTCATACGGATTTCTTTCTGCTTCCTACATTTTAACAGATATGAATTTTATATTATTGAAATTTAATATTATTCAATCTATGAAAGGGAAATCGTCTAGGTATCTATTAATAATCCTTCAAGTGTTTTTACTCTTGAAAATGCGACGTATTCAAGCCCAATAGTTATTTCCTTTTCCCCAATATCTATAACAGCTTTATCTAATGTTAAGGCTTGTGAACTGTAATAGCGAAAGATAATTGCAATGGGAATTGTTTTTTACAATTGGTATTTTCGCTTTGAAAATTAAATTATCGCCATCGCCGAAAGTATAGTGCGCCTTCCTACTCGGCTGCGAGGAGAGCCAGAAGAGCCAGTGAGCAGCTGCTCTTTGGCTCCGCCGCTTACCATATATCGGCAGCGGAAGGTATGGAGAACGGTACACCGCAATACCGACACTATTCTGCCCCCGCAACTCCTACTTGGAAGCAGAAGACAGGGAGAGTGGACCCTCCTCTACCACCCTCTACCTATCCCCTGCACCCTCTAGCACGCCTCCAGAGTGGGCCCAATGAGCCCACTCGAAGCGGCCCTGTCGGGCCGGCCTTGCACCGCAAGCCGGCTCAGAGTGGTTTACACTTAGCTTCACGCTGGGTGACCAAGCCCCTCCGACCGGGTTCCCCGCCTTGACGTGGTGGAGGGGTTTAGTAGCCGTGCGTTGGTCACCCTCGGCGAAGCTAAAAGGGTCAGGTCGAGGGTGTTGGAGGAGGAGCCACTCTCCCTGTATTCTGCTACCGAGGCGGGGTCGTGGGGGAAGAGGAGTGCCGGTATTGTGTTTGGCCGCCCTCTCTATCCTCCGCGACTCAGCGGGGCTGCACCGTTGATGCAGTGGTGCTGGGGCCGCGGGGCGAGAGGAGTGTCGGTATTGCGGGGCGCCGTTCTCCCTACCCTCCGCAGTCGAAACGTGGTGAGCGGCAGAGCCACAGACCAGGACCGACGCTGGGTGCTGGGAGGCTTGCTGCTTATTAGTACTGGCTCTCCTGGCTCCCATGGCCCCGGTTGGCGAACTCGGAGTATTTCGGTGGCCGTGAAAATGGGAGCGATTTGGAAGGCGCGCATAATTGTCCCAGAACGCCAGTAGAGGAGAGGGGAGTTGCTCCCCGGGAGGGTCGCGGAAGTGTGCAAAAGCGTTCCCGTGACCCTGCCGATATGCGCCTAGGTAGAACATCGTGGGAGTTTTTAGAGCACTGACTAAGTGCTATAAGAAAAAGGTGACGAAGTCACGGCTACTAAGCCCCCTCCGCCACGGCAAGGCGGAAACACGGTCGAAGGGGTTTAAATCGATATGCTGTAATAACCTGGTGAACTTGAGAAATAAATTGCTCTTCAAGAAATGTTAACTTTTTTATCAGATTGTGGTCCAGGATCGGAATTTTCAATAGAAAATATTTTCAACTCATTTTTAAGTGGATTAACTACGATGAAATTATATTTTTTTCACAGATAACACATGTAGATAAGAAGTTACATTACTATGTTAAAGTGAAAATCTATGGGCATGATAGTTTTTCAGTAAAATGTACCACCAAAATGCTCAGATAGTGTTAGGTCTCACTTTGCTCGCCCTAATTACGATATCATTTCAAAATGGACCCTATTTTGTAATGATATCGTAAAAGGCACAAGACACAAGAATTAAACTGCTTGTGTGGGTTTGTCGTTATGTGACCTACAGATAAAAGAGATCGTTATATTAACGAAAAAAGATAAAATTTATGCAAATACAACGGCGCTTCAGAACTTATATTTAGAACAATATAAATTTTTTGCAATTATTTACGAATTTAATTGCACTTTTGTTTTTTAATTTTATATTAAGTTATTTCCGTGCTGATCTCTGCACTTATAATGAAAATTCCGTCAAATTTTGTAAAAAACTTTTAATTTACTTTCATTATTATTAAAAGCGACAGCCTTGTCACGTCTCTATATATCCCTTACGTAGTTATCGTGACAAATATTCATAACTCTCTTCTTATTTCGCTTACAGGTTAAGTTACAACGACGAATTAATCAATTGGTGCGACGTGGTCGTGCCCTGTGGCGGAGACGGGACGTTCCTACTCGCCGCCTCCAGGGTCAGAGACGCCAAGTGAGTTAAGCGACTCTATTATTTATTAGAGAAGAAGATACAAATAAGCTGAAGATCGAGCAGTGTATTAATTTTATTTATTTATTCACATATACTACCTTATACTTGTGGTGAATAATGCAATAATTGTGAATTCACTCAGAGTACCTCTTTTCATTCAAGCTTGTTAAGTCATTATCGTGATGGACATACTAGTTGTATGATATACCCTTGAGTCCCTGATGCGTTGCCAACTTAAAGAGTGGGTCTTCGCTCAACTCCCTTATCAAAAGTGCATTTTGCCCAGCTGTGGGACATCTATAGGCTGTTAATTTACTTTTTAAGCTTGCTTACCTATTACCTGTACGCATAGTACAAGCGTTGCTTAGTTTTGGATTATAGAACGCTGTGTAACAACGTGTCCTGAATATTTATTTTATTAATTCTGCGACGTGGCATTTCCCTGAACATTCCCGTTTATACAGTAGGAGATCCCCGAGAGTCCTTGGCTTCGCCGTAATAAAAGATTATTGTGTATTTTCAGCAAACCAGTAATCGGTTTCAACAGCGCTCCCCACAAGTCAGTGGGACGCCTCTGTTTGCCCACTTGGTGTTCGAACGATGTGAAGGGTGCGTTCAACGCGCTAAAAGAGGTAAAAAATTAAGACAATTTCTATTAAACTCCCATAATTTGTCTACTTATTAAATTTGATATGAGTTTTGTTATCTATTATTAGTATACTTTTACTTAGTACTATCGCTTTGTACTTGTTCAAAACCTGCAGTTTGTGTACATCAAAGGCCGGTTTCAATGTTCTATCTATCTGTAGATTTGATTACTAGTGATAGAAGTTTGACATGAGTATTTTGGAGCTAATGTTAAACGAGCTATGGAGCGGGCTATGCTCGGTATTTCTCTGCGTGATAGAGTTCGTTAAGAAGACATCCGCCCTAGAACCAAGGTAACCGACATAGCTCAGAAGATTAGCAAACTAAAGTGGCGATGGCCCGGCTGGCCATATAGGTCGTAGAACCGTTGGGGAAGAAAGGTTCTCGATTGGCTGCCTCGTACTGGCCATCGCAGTGTAGGACAACCGTCCACTAGATGGAGTGACGACCTGTACAAATGTGCGGGAAGTCGATGGATGCAGGTGGCCCAGGATTGTACTTCGTGGCAGTCTATGGGGAGGCCTATGTTCAGCAGTGGACTCAGACAGGCTGAAATGATGATGAATCTCAAATACCTGTCGCTAGTAACTGACACGAGCTATAGATAGGTTGTTGAAAACCGCCGTAAAAGTAGTTCAATCCTCAGTTCTTGTAGGTCACTAAAGCACCCACGAAGTTGATATTTCGTGGTGACTAAAATGAATTCGACGTTTCATGTCTAATGTCAAAAATCTAAAATCATTACTCCTAAGCCTAGTCTCAAAAGCCCAGGTTTTACGACGTGACATCTCTTATCTCTCTGTTCATTATCCATTAATAAATAAATAAGGGTGCAATTAAAAGCCCAGGTTTTACGACGTGATATCAATTATATCTCCGTTTATTATCCATCGGAAAATTACTGGTCCATTTGGGGAACATTACGGGTGCGAAAACGCGTCGAGGGCCGCTTTGCCACAATTGCGCGCATTCAAACGGTGTCCGACCGATGTGTTCAGGGCAGGTTCAGATGGATGCGCCGTTCCAGGATACGCACCACGATAACCTGCGAGCCGAAACTCCTGGACACCATCACGCCAGTGGACCTTCACACGCTGCATTACTGCAGGTGAGTTCCACTAGTTTACGCGAAAGCATAGTGAAGCCCGATTCACACTGGTCAAGTGTTTAGTACAGTAGACAAGTACGTCGGAACCGTCGGAATGGAAGGCCGCGAAAGCCAAAGACGTGGGTTCAATCAAACAGCGGCGACAATCTTTTCGTACTTTTTCTACAAATTTTAATGTTAAATCTTAAGTGCAGTGATTAGCACTATAAAATTGAAATTTATAATTCAATAATTTGTTTTTATCATAATTGGCTGTATCTTATGTTAGTAATACAGTCTATACATCTATCTATACAGATAAATAAAATGGGAGTGTCTGTTTGTAATATTAAAATAAACGCTTTTTAATAACTAAATATATATGGATGTATACACGGTACATATACCAAAATAACATTTATTACAATTTTTGTCTGTCTGTCTGTCTGTTTGTTCCGGCTCATCTCTGAAACGGCTGGAACGTTTTGGACGGGACTTTCACTGGCATATAGCTGATGTAATTGGGAGTAATTTAGCCTACTTTTATTGCAGATTTTTTTTATTTTAAATTCCACGCGGACGAAATCGCGGGCACAGCTACAAAATAAATAAAGATCTGACATACTGGTTTGAGCTGACAGATATATCGATTTTACCGGTTCATTGTATTATTAAGTGAGTTTTATCTGTAGTAGTATTTCTGGTAATGACTATTTAATTACGATTGTAAACGATGTTGAACTGACGTATCGATGACTGTATTGCCTTTATCTAACGTATTTTAAATCTTTATTGCTTTCTCAGTTTTTCCATACAATTGATAGCGGATTGGTAATATCGATCATTAAGCCTTCTTTCTCCTGCCCTTATCCCGTAGAATCGTGTTGTTTATTGTATTGCATTGGTTAGGTAACTTGAAGACCGTACTTGAGAACAAACACTTAGATTCGAACAATCATCTGTGGGTCACACAAATGCTTGTCCCCTTTGGGTATCGAACTCACGATGGCCCAAAACCAATGGCTTAGCGACTGCGCAACCGAGTCCTAATTAATATCGATCATTAATTAATGAAGTAAATTAATCCGAAAGACTTTGTTATGCCACTGCCACACTTCTCGGTCGGTTTCGAACATAAAATATGAAGCTTTCTGCTTATCTTAATGGTGTTTTTTGACACTATTTTTAACAATAGTAACCAAATAGTATGTGTATATAATTGTAATTATTTATAATTACAATTGTAAATAATTACAATTTTAAATAATTACAATTATATTCGCAATAGGAACAGCAATCCTCTAAATGATACAGTAACAAGTCTTCACTGATTGCAAGGTTCAAGGTTCGATTCCTCACATAAAATTACACCCGTATGAAGAAAGACTTCCAAGCGAGGCTCCGTTTATAGACGCAGTTGTAGTACTCCGTTAAATAATAATATATAAACACATTTTCCAGGTATCCCCCGATGTCTAACATACATGAAACCCAAGACGCCCAGTCGAAGGACCAGGAACAGATCAAAGCGAGTAGAAGCACCACTTTGTCCACCAAGGTTTTACCGTTTCTTGCACTTAACGAGGTAAACAATTTCTTTATTACCCTCAGATTTGCTGTTCAAACCCTAAACTTAAATGTTAAGTAAAGCAAAGTAGCAAAATCAAAATCAAAATATATTTATTCAAATAGACGCTTGCGCGCTCTTATGAATCGTCAAATTTTACATCAAAGATTATGTGTATATGTTCGTAAGGTACCACCGGTTCGGAAAGCGGTTTCTGTTGAGAAGAGATTTTTCAAAAATATCAGGGTACAATATAATATACAGGTATAATAGTCTTATTCTAGCCTACGTGAGTATCAACAGTATTAACTCCACACATTGGCGTCGTCGAGATATTCCGAAATGGTATAATATGCTTTAATCATCAGTTGATTTTTAATTTTACATTTAAATTGGTCAAGCGGCAGACTTAATATCGACTGTGGGATTTTATTATACATGCGTACACTTTGCCCCATGAACGACTTATTTACTTTTTGTAGACGAAACAATGGCGTAGTAAGTTTGTCCTTATTTCTAGTGTTTATGTCTGTCACTATTCTTTAGGTAATAATTAAGGTTATGACGTATATACAAAACATTACAATAAATGTATTGAGAAGCAACAGTGAGTATATTAACCTCTTTGAAAAGATCTCTGAGTGAATTCCGGGCTCCGATATTGTAGATTGCTCGGACAGCTCTTTTTTGAAGAATAAATATAGTATTTATATCTGATGCACTACCCCACAACAAAATGCCGTACGACAAGATGCTGTGAAAATAACTAAAGTAAACAAGTCTGGCAGTGTCGATGTCTGTTAGCTGCCTAACCCTTCTAATCGCAAAAACCGCGGAGCTCAGCCTATTCGCAAGAGATGATATATGGGGACTCCACTGGAGCTTTGAATCTACTGTAATTCCCAGAAATACAGCAGACTCAACTGGATTAATGGGTACGTTATTTAATATTAAACTAAAACTTTTCCTTCTTATACTGGGAAGGGTAAAAAGAATACATCTGGTTTTTTTGGCATTTAATACCATATTATTAATAGTAAACCAGTGGAGGATATGTGAAAGCGCACTATTCACGTCGTCATAATTTAATACGTTTAATACGTACGTATCGTCAGCAAACAGTACAACATCACACAACCCACTGGCATAAAAGGGGAGATCATTAATATATACTAAAAATAATAATGGGCCCAAGATTGATCCTTGTGGGACTCCCATTTTCATCTGGGACCCAGTGGAATTAACATCATTTATAGATACTTTTTGAATTCTATTACTAAGGTAAGAGGCAATGAGATTGAGGGCGATCCCACGAATGCCATAATATTCTAGCTTTTGAAGAATAGTTTTATGGTCTACGCAGTCGAAGGCTTTTGAAAGGTCACAAAAGACACCTATTGCATCTTGTGACCTTTCCCAGGCGTTATAAATATGTTTGACAAGTGCGACGCCCGCATCTGTTGTCGATCTGCCTTTAGTGAATCCATATTGCTCATCGTGAAAGATTTTGTTCACATTAAAATGAACTAAAAGTTGATTTAATATTAGCTTTTCAAAAACTTTACTAAGAGATGGCAATATGGAAATAGGTCTATAGTTGCCTGGATCATTTTTATCACCACTTTTGTAGACAGGTATTATCTTACTAAATTTCATAAGATCTGGAAATATTCCAGAATCTATGCAGTTGTTAAAAATAGAAGCCAAATGTGGTGCAATATATGGCATTATTGTGCTCATTAATTTTATGGACATACCCCATAAATCCTCTGTATTTTTAAGATTAATAGAATTCAAAACTTTTATAATATCATAAGTATCTACGTGATTAAATTTAAATGTGTGTAGGCAAGGGGTAACATTATTTCTTAAAACATTAATTGCGTCTGCGGGAGATGATTTTAGATGTACGTGTGACATTAACCGCAATGTCTGAAAAATAGCTTTCGAAACTACTCGCAATTTCGTTATCTGATATTATGGGAGTATTACCTATAACTAGTTTTATAGGTTCCCTGAATATCTTGGTTCTTCCAGATATACGGGTAATGATGTCCCATGTGGCTTTAGTTCTATTGTTTGAATTTATTATGCTATTTCTTATATAAATAGATTTTGCCTGAATACAGACTTTTTTAAATATTTTTGAAAATGTTTGTACCCGTTTAAGGAAGTTAGGATCGTGATTCCACTGCCTCATACTATATAATTCATACAATGAATCCCTACTTTTGTATATACCCACTGTTGCCCAGTCACTAAATTTTAATTTTGAATTCTTAGCAATTGTGCGCGATTTAAAAGTATCATTATAAGAAGATATGAGAAAGTCAACCATTGATCTATAAGAGTCATTAGGGTTATTGACTCCTATATCTTTATTTAACATATGATGTGCCACTTTATCTCTAAAAGCATTTATTCTATTAGTAGTGACTGGTCTACACTTGATCTTAAGTTTGCTTGTATTAGCTTTTTCATTTATTGAAAATTTTAGCCCAAAGTGATCCGAGCTCAGATGATTTATAACATATTTATCATATACATCACTGTGACAGAATACATTATCTATACATGAGGAGGATAAGTTAGTAACACGAGTTGGTTCATGAAAAAGATTTTTAAGTTCAAATGAGTTAAATAAATTTAAAAGTCGTTTACTGAGTTGTGTTACTTGTAATAAATCCACATTAAAATCTCCACAAACTATTAATGATTTACTACTTGAACATAGTTTTTTAAGAACATCATCCATTACACACTCAAACTGATCGAAATCACCTGAGGGGGGCCGGTATACGCATACTATAATATACTGTTGACTCTCAACGCAGGATAATTCAATAGAACGTTCGACAGAGTGTGCCACTATATCCTGTCGATTTTTACAGACTATATCAGTTCTAACTAATACAAGAGAGCCACCGCGAATAGCATTTACTCTTACGAACGAACTTAACAATTTATAATTTTCTATATTAACAATATTACAGTGCTTATGTAACCATGTCTCTGTGAAGCAGATGACATGTATATTAAATTTCCTAAGGAACAATTCAATTTCGGGTTCTTTGCCGCCTAAGCCTTGTATATTTTGATGCACAATATTTAATTTAAGTGGCCTAGGCGTTGTCTCAATGTTTAGTTTAAACTAACATTGTTTGCTGAAAGATTATTACATAATAAAATATTCTTAGTTGTACTATTTACAACTGGATTTGTATATTATATGCTACTAGAGTAGCAATTAGTTTCTTATAATATAGTGGCAAATACAAAGTATTTTTTGTCACCTTAAAACTAGATTTAATAAAATTATTTAAGTCGAAATAAAAGAAAGCGTCACTATGACGGTGAGTTATGTTATATATAGTCATGTTAAGACTATATATGTATTTATTTTGTTCCTCTGAAAGGAAAGAGGAATATGGAAATGAGCATAATATAAATTTGCACTTAGTTTTATAATGTAAGTTAAGTAATATTTCCATATTATTAACAATTTCCTGTTTCCTTACAGATGAACTATCCCCATGAAGTAGTACAATAGTACTATTCTCATTTAAATTTAATGTCAATAATTTGTTAATATTGTTATGAAAACTGGCACCTGGTGAACATATATTATATACATTATTTACATGTTTGGAAAGTAAAGAACCAAAACCTTGTCCTATATTATCCGATACAATTATAACTTTATGTTTATTATTGGAGATACTGGATGATTTGACAACTGAATGTAATTTATTTTCAAATTTATTATATGATGGCTGATTGCGTTTTTTTCTGTATGACCAGGTCACTTCCCGTGTCTGCAGATATATTCTGAGTGTTTAATTTATTTGGAGATTCTGTGTTGGAGCAACAACATGTATTTTTGCTAGTAAATGATTCAAATGTATTATAATTATAATTACAAAGATCTAATAAATTATCAGCTGCTAGAATATGTTCCTGTATTTGCTTTTGAGATGATTCATATTTAGCAGTTAATATTTGTAATGTGCTATTTAAGTTATTAATTTCAGTTTGAAGCTGAAGTGTTACCCGGCCATACTCAGACCTACTTTGTTCCAATTTATTTTGATACATTTTTACTAACTTACATAACTTTGACCGTTCATTTTTTATTTCATAAATTTCTTTGAATGTATTTCTTAATAATTTATTTGTTTTCTTTATAAATCTTTTAACTTTAATGTATTTTTTAAGCTTATTGTGTGAAAAGCAAGATTGCTTGATACAAGAGTCATCTTAAGAGCAGCGTAATTATTTACCAACGCTGAGCAATCCATACTTCAATACTTAATATTATAAATGCGAAAGTAACTCTGTCTGTCCGTCTGTCTCGCTTTCACTCCAAAACTACTGAACCGATTTAAATTAAAATTTGGTACACAGATTAGTCTGTAGAGCCTGAGAAAGGACATTGGCTTAATGGTAAAAAAGTGTTTTAAAGGAAAGATATTATTTAAGGCTTCAACGAGAGCGAAGCTGCGGGCGAAAAACTAGTTGTATATGTTACCGGCCCAACCCGATTTCAGGACAAACTAGTTTTGCCTAGGCTAAACTAGTTCTTCCTATACGAGATAGGAGTAACTAGTTTAGCCTACTCCAAACTAATTTGTCCTAAGCCATATAGGATAGACCAGTTTAGGCTAGGCCAAACTAGTTGAACCTGATATAAATACGCACACTCTAGGATAAACTGATACTGTTTTCCTTCACCGATGAGCACGTGATAAATCAGCGTTTAAAACGGCAATTCACAATGTCTTTTCAATTTGATTCCAGGTTCCTCGAGTCTATTGTATCACAAATTTAATATCACTCGATTTGAGAAATTAATATCAATCACCGCTCAGACGCTATCACGCGGCTTTCATAGACTTTATAAATTGCACTTAAGTTTTTTTCACAAATGGGTTGCAGCTTATAGGTCATATAACTTTAATATATATATATATATAATTTGGCTACAAATTTTGAAATTGTTTGTTTTTAATGTATATGGGCCGCAAAAAAAAAAAAATGTAAATATGTAATTTCATATAAATATCATAATTTTAAATGACGTCATTCAAATAAAAATTTTAAGCACCGATTCGATAAATCGAAATTCGAAAAGCATTTCAAATTTCTTATATTTGAAAATCAACCAGTAAGATCGTCGACAGCTTAGCTTAGTAAAGTTTAAGACGCAGGTTCGAATCCCGAAACGCTGGCTGGCTCACGCACGTGAGAGCATGACGTCACGTGTTTCAATTACTACGTAGACCTGCCACGGTAAACCTATCGCAGCTTTAAGTTGTCGCGGCTTTTATCGGTGTTATCTATCTCTTTCTGGCTCATGGAAGTGTTTATAGGCTAGAGTATAATGTCGCGCCGTTCGCTGCTGCGTAGCTGTATTGCGATGAACTTAACTCTAGCATTATAATTCGTTGGGCTTTGTATCTGTTGTTTTGTTCTGGCTTACGCAGGTTGTAGGTGAGTGGGTGTCGTCATGTGTTTCGCTTACTACGTAGTACTACCACGGTGAACCTATCACTAGCTCTAATTCGTTACGGATTCTATCAGTGCTATTGTAACTCGCACTCCCTCTTTATTGTATATATATAATTATAACTTATATATTTTTTCCCCCATTATATGAATAAATCATATAACATCATTACGTGACCAGGATAATTTATTGATCTTTCTATAGGATCTTTCTAAAGGTAATAATTAGCCGTATAAAATATTATTGTGATCGTCATATTCGGTAGGACCTCATTTACGTTGTGTTTAATTAGTAACTTGATTCTTTTAGGTGGATCTTGGATAGATAAATATTCACTAGTTGTGGTATAAGCCAGAGATAATGCTAGATTGCTTTCTTATTAAATAACCCCGACTCGCTTGAGACGGGCTCAGAGTATATAGTATACTCCCTCTCACGCTTGTAAAGGGCTCACAATATAATTTTAAAATAATATCCCTTCTCTCTTGAAAAGGGCTCACATCAATTTTACATACCCGATACAAGTCAACAGCTCCCCCACATTTTTAAAAAAATGTAGGGAAGGCACACGGCTCCATGAAAACACTCACCAACGCCGTGTGCGGTGAGCGCCAACCAACATATTGCGCCCCCCCCCCAGAAGAGGGACAAAAAGTTGGGGAAAGGACCGAAGTCCATTGCAAAGCTGTTTTACCAGCATAAAGAGGGCTTGGCCCCTTGGCAGTGCGTAAGCACAAACTTTGACCGAAGTCGCGCATGTCAATGCGTGTAAACGTCATACAAGCCGACGACAAATCCAGTCTTCGTGAATGTACGTCAATACGGTTTTGGGCATGTGTTAAAGATCAGGCACTCTGGCCCTATGATATAATAAGCCCTCCGTAAGCGCCACCACTTTTGCCAGATCGCCGCGACTGCAGACGTGATTGTTAGTGTTTTGGCATCACCACCATTAAAAAGGTTAGCACGACATTTCGTCGCAGAGCGCGTAGTCCCAAGGGTATGGTTAAAACGTTGCACGGCATCGCCGCAGCCTTGAGAGGTTTTCTCCCGTGAGGTAAACGCATATGCTCCACCAACCATTGAAATAGTCAGATATAGCCATAGTTGTGATTTTTATGTTTAGCCATCAGAAGGGTTTATAATTGGCAACATATAATTATTTGTCAGTGTCTCTGACGTTGAGTATAATGTATTTTCGATCAAGTTTGTCTCACCCACCAGCAAGTTGCCATTATTCGTTCGAACGGTGGGAACTTTACTGAGATTCGTTAATAATGATAAAACGTATAAAAAGGTCAGACAGTCTGCAGTTCCGTCATCAGGAACCCGACTTGGATAAATCTACTGAGATGTGCATCAAACCGAGACGCAGACTCGGCCATTATGAATAGCGTCGTCTCCCAAGCAAATGTCGCAAGACGCAATGTCACCAAATGCAACATGCATCAATACAACTATCGCAGGTCAACACGCCAACATACAGCCTATCCGCATACACAGCAGACATCATCACCTCGAACCTCCGTCAACCAGAATCATACGATGCAATGATATCAGGCGCAGATCACCCCGCAAATACCACAAGACGCATTACTGCATATAGCCGCACGCATCAATGTGACTATCGCGTAGGTGGCACACCCTCACACCACACCAATATAACTCCGATCAACTTCGGCTCCAAAGTTTAGAATATACTCGGAACACACGAAGTGTCCGAACATACTCTTTCACGATCCGAATGATAGTCGACGTATCATAGTGTAAACACTAAGACGCCAACCACCAACGGACCCCCACCCAGTCAAGTAATAGCCAACGTATCATAGTGGAATACACTAAGACGCAAGCCACCACCAGACTCCCCAAAGTCAGATGATCAGTCGACGTATCATAGTGCAACACACTAAGACGCCAACTACCACCAAACTCTTACTATGCCGAATGACAGCTAACGTATCATAGTGATGGTCACTAAGACGCCAACTACCACCAGCTATCGATGATATGTCCACCACTGAAGACATATCCATTCATGGTTCCACGTTTACCGTAGACCATATCGTCGTACAGAAGTACCACGCAACTCCATAGTAATATGTCTTATAAAGTCCCAAGTCATTCATTGCTCTTCATTATATTTATATGTTCATTATTTTTTCTCTGAGCCTTCACATATTATTACTTTTATCCATTAGACCTTACTTCCATATGATATTGGTATGGGACGTTCATACAATGTACTTTGACTATAGTACTAAGAGTCGCGATCGACCTCTGTACTTACATATGTGCGGTCATACAAATGTGTCCCCGCACGGTACATAATACTTTCCTTAGAAATCACTAAGTATGGAATTGTATTTAATGGACATAATAGTGATCGTATCTTGCTATATTTTTAATAAATATCCTTTTTTGAGTATTTTAAGTGATTTTTAACTATTTTTAATCAATTTTTGGTAATATCATTTTCTCATACTAACACTTATATTTCTTAAATTTAAGTATATATTATTAACTTTTATTGTGACTAAACGTTCTTAAACGTTTTACTTTCATCTTAATTGATCTTTATTATGACTAATTAATAATAATATTTATTATTATTAATAGGTCGTTACACTATGTATTTAAGTGTGGTAGCCTACCGTACGCCGTTTTGTGTGTTTGCGTCTGTATTATCTAACTCTTTCTGACCCACGCAGGTGTTTATCGGCGAGAGCGTGACGTCGCGCGTTTCGCTGCTCCGGCTGCAAATAGACAACGGCCAGTGGACGCATACGAAGAGTTCCGGCCTGTGTGTCACCACTGGCACCGGTAGCACGTCGTGGCATTTCAGGTGAGACCGATATTATTTTATTTATTTTTATTTTATGTGAAAAGTTGCCAAACGAGCAGACGGCTCACCTGATGGTAAGTGAATGCCGCCGCCCATGGACATCTGCCACACCTGGAGGGTTACAGATGCATTGACAACCTTTTGAAAATTGGGCTCCGGCTACCTAACTCACCAGACGAAACGCGAAAGTATTTGTTATACTTCCACTTTACGATGGTCTTCTGTGAGGTCGTGGTACTTACCCGGACGGGCCTGCCCATTCGTGCAACAGCCGAGGCTGCTGCGTGGCCCTACCACCGATATTCTTTGTCAATAGGCAAAATAGGCTTAAGTCGACTAGTGGGATATTTGTAATAACCGGTAATGTGTTAAAAAGGCATTAAATTGCCCAGTGGTCGATTTTTACGTTTCTATGGGGCACCGAAAGGCGAAAGTTGGGCAAAATTTTACAACGCAATTGGTTGCATGAAAGTGTACATGCGAATTCCGCACTGTGGTGCATTTTCTCTCAAATTATTTTCCGATCCCTATATCACTTTAGTGTATAATGGCTAAGTAATATTGATATTGTATTTCGTCATTATCATCATTTCATCTTATTCTATTCTTGATCATAGGTTTAACTTTAAAGATCTTAAATTCAAATATGATCCATTTTCATATTTTAGTCTCCATCTTCTTTTTTAACTCTTTATTTGTGGAATTTCTAAACAAGGGCTGGTTCGTACTATATAAAAAGAGCTTATAAGTATTCAAGGCAGTATCTAACAACAACGGCGTATGCTCTTTGTTTGTATTACGCATTATTTTATGGTATGATAACGGATGATAGACTAGTGAAACAAGTTAAACCAACATAGGTAGCTCAGCGAAGTTGATGCAAAAAGTGTGTTCTTTGCAGCATCAACTGTCTGCGGACGCACTCGGTGCTGGAGCTGATGAAGATCCTCGGCGAGGAGTTCGACGTGAAGCTGGAGAGCACAATTGAGAAAGCGAGGGAAGTGGCCGAGAGGTACAACCAGAAACTGATGTTCGCGCCAGGTGAGTTGCGAGAACTGCTGGGCGATATCCGATACTGTTTTATCACTACATAGTATAAAACAAAGTCGTCTCGCTGTCTGTCTGTCCCTATGTATCCTTAGGTCTTTAAAACTGCGCAACGGAACTTGATGCGGGTTTTCTTACTAGATATAGTGATTCAGGAGGAAGGTTATTATGTATAATACATAATAACCTTCCTCCTGAATGCGTGGGGCGTGTCGCTAGTCATTTAATATGACAATATGACATTTTTAGGCTCGATGGCGCAGTTGCTAAGCAAATGGCCTGTGAGCAGTGAAATCTAATGGACCGTTCTAATAAGATCCAAATCTATTAAGATTTGGCTCAATATCGACTTACTCCCTCAGACTCTGAGCAGCTCGCGTACTCCGTGCGGGAGTACATAACGTTCGAGGAGTGGCCGGCGCCGCGTGGCCTGAGAGTCCGCGATAGAGCCGCCGCTGTGCGCGTCCGCTCTCATTGCACTGACGCTGGTAAGCACCATTTGATCAACCCTACCCTAACTAACAACCGCTTACCTGACTACCACCCCCTAATTGACAACCGCTTACCCGACTACCCCCTAACTAACAACCGCTTCGACATCGTTTCGACCCACCATTTGACTCCCCCCAGATCACTCCCTAACTAACAACAGCTTCGACATCGTTTCGACCCACCACCTGACTACCGCCAGGTCACCAACTAACAACCGCTTCAACATAGTTTCGACCCAACCACTACCACACCACCACCTAAACATCGCCTAACTCACTGACTAACGCCAGTTTCAATACCGCTTATTTTTAACTCCGACATATTTTCAACTCCCCACCAAACCATCGTTAGCCCAAACTAGCCTAGCCATCGCCTGATCGCCCCCTAACTAACAACCGTTTTAACATAGTTTCGATCCATCATTGCACACCACCACCTGAACATCAACTAATCACTGATTAACTAATGGCTGCTTCAATAGCGTTTCGACCCACCACTGCCACACAACAACCTAAACATCACTTAACTCATTAACTAACAACCGTTTCGATATTGTCTGATCACCCCTAACTAACAACCACCACCTTACCATACCCCCTTTGTCGCCGACTACCACTGGAGAGTCAGAGACCGAAACTGTAAACTACACTGGAGTGTGTGAGGAATGGATTCCTATATTATAACGTTAACATTTGCATCCGTCAGGGTTGGTCATCGACGGCAGCGTATCGTTCCCATTCAACGACGGAACCCAAGCCGTGCTTGAGATACACCCAGAGGACTCCCTGATGACGGTGCACATGGATGACTCGTTACCATATTGATGATGCAAAGAAAAGACTTCGTTGCAGCAACAGACTATACTTTTCTACGAGGTTAGTCCTTACGATGATCTCAAGACAAACGAAAAGAATCGAGGGTAGTCGTCAACCAAACGTCTCCATACCTTTGCGTTTATAATCTTCTCTTTGTAATAAATAACGGAATGGAAATCATCAATTTATTATTTAAAATATTTTTTTTATTATATTTATTTAAACAGCCTTTACATGTCCCACTGCTGGGCAAAGACCTCCTCCGTACAGAGGGTATCAGTCCACCACGCGGCCCCTGACTCCTGATTGGTGCAGAGCATATGGTACAGATGTATTTTTGTAAATAACATACTTTATGTGATTTAAATAATTATAAAAACTATTTTTTTAAGAATACAAAAATCTTATTCCATTTATCTATGGGTTATAAAAATTTTGGAGAATTAACTTCAGACATTTCGTGATTTCGTGATATTATTTTGGAGCGAAAAGAGTGAGGCACTAACAATTTATCTGTTATTACCTTAGAGTAGCGTGTGAATAATATTGTAATGTAAATAGTTTCAGATGTTTCCATCATAAGGGCCCAGGACAGTTGAGGCAAAGACTAAAGTAACACCGCCTAGAATACGTATAATGCGAAGAATGCGGAAAAATTGTTGTTTGAGAAGAAAGAAGGAACGGAAGGACTGAAAGGAAACTACGAAGATTTGCATTTCACGACGTAGTGATAGAATATTTTGATTTTGTAACATATGTGACGAATTATGATATTTCGTTGTGGCAATTGTTTAATCTTTTATTAATATATGCAACTGGATGTATCATTTATCTTCGTAATCAAGTACAATGAAGAGAGAAGATATTGCTACATTTGGTCTTAGTTAAAATAATTATTTACTCAGGGCTTGCGCGTAAAAGTAATGTGCATCTTCGAAGTTATAACTATTTTGCAATACATAGTTAACGGGTCTCGGAGAGGATAATTAAGCTATGTGTATTGCTTTCTTTTTCGTGCTGTAGTTTATATTGTTATCTGAATTCAACACGCTCGTATAGTTTTGTCGAAAATTGTTTTTAAATAAATATTGTTAGCTATTCCGTAGTATGTTGAAGTTTACGCGACCGTAAAAACGCAGATGTTGTGGAGGCCACTTTCACTCAGGCGCGTTTTAGTATTGCTCGGCCCGTCTATTGCAGTTTCTTTTAATCTCCATGCACAAATTTTGTTGAAAAAGTGTTCTTCGTAAATGACTGTTAAACCATACCTGTTATATTTAAAAAAAAAAGGATCTAGTTTTATTAAATAGTGTTTTGTTAAATAAGTTCCTTACAAGATATCAGTGGCGTATCTTTACCGTGGAGCGAATCTAGCGCATTTAAAATTGTTCTAATGTAACTATATAACTTTGTATATTTTCTTGGCTCATGGCTTTGTAAAATCACCCGTACCCTATTGTTAAGCAACTTCAAAATATAAATGTTATATTATAAATTTTACCCTGAAGTTTTCGGACATTTATAGTAACTTGAATATTATCACAATTTTAGATAAGTGTTATATATAGTGAAATATATAAAATTGCATGTTAGCTTTAGCGATTGGTACAATTCACCAGTTGCAAACGATTTTGCTTTTATACTGTTGTTAGATTAAGACTGAGCTCCTAGTTCTAAGTGCAATAATTTTTTACTATACTTAATTTAGGAAACGAGTGCTTTACTTACCTGTTCAATTAGTATTCTGAATAACTGTTGATATATTTATTCGTAAAAATATTTAACGAAAACTTTTGTTGTAGAATTATATACATCACAAAATTTCTAGTGGCTGCTTGCTGTTTAAGGAAAATAAATAAGTCAAAGCTCGTATTGGGCGTGAGTATTTAATCTGAGCTTAGTAGTTTAAAAGATGTTGTATTTAATATGGCAGCATTACAGCCATTGTACTTATTCTGTTCTGATCTATTTAAAGCCTGTTCTATATATGAATAATTCTCAGAAATCAATGGATATTATTTATGAATTACTAGTGAGAAAGAATACAGCGCATGTTTTACGATGTTCACTGTTAAATTAGTAAATCATTAAACCATATTGAATATGCAAAACCTCTTTATTTTATTATCCTTTTAGACTATATTTTCTAATGATTTCATTATTAAAAAAATTAAGACACCTAATATCTTTTGCATTATTGCTTACATTCTATTCTGCATTACGACATAATTATGTTTGTTGTTTATTAATGTGCGCCTGAATTTTATAGTTTACATTGAATTCAAAATATTTATAAAGTTAGTAACTAGTCAATAATTAATTCATGTATGTAATATCATTTGTTAATTAGTAACAGCTAGTATGAAGTTAATATTCTAAAATAAAACGAATGATTTTCGAAGTCAGTATATTTGTTAAAAAAATTCGTACACTGTTTATAATAAACATTCGATATCGTTCCAGAACCCCATTGTATTAAAAACCTAGTAAAAATGTAGTTAGTCAAACTAAACAAAAATAACAATGGGGTAATTATGAAACAAATATCGGGATTCGTTGTTACATGTTATAGGAAAGGAAGCAAAATAAAAGTAACTTAAAATAAGCCCAGATATATTATAGCACCGACATCGGACGGATTATTGGCAGTACACCAAAATTTATCCTAAACAAACATAGCTTAAAAATATGGCATCCACAACTAATTTCACCTACACTGACAGGAAGTAATGCAAAGAAGTGTACACGGTAAATATATATTTTTGTATTGATATTAAATACAGGGTTACGTTGGAAATTTCGTGTTTATTTAAAATATATGAGAATCGTTTATTAAATTCGTGAACTTCCAAGTGACCGCAAAACGTTTAAAAGAAACAAGTTTCCGCCACCGTGTGAAGAAAAAAGACACATTGACCCGTTTGATAAGAAGTCTATAAAATAATTGGGGCAAACACATATTTTTGCGGCCTTATATTTAATTATTGCGTAATTTCAATAGATTACATAATACTATATCTGCATCATACTTATTATTGTGATATTTACACTCATGTAATAATTATTACATAGTTTTATTATAGAATGTTCTAATACACTTACATTAGTGTAGATAGAATAAATGATCAAACCTTTTGAGGGTTCTTTTAATACAATTATTTAAAGTAAAATAAAAAGATAAGAATCCTCTAGATACGACAACGTCTTATTAATCACCCGTTGTCGATTTTTATTTTATTACGTAATGTAAGGCAACCTTTTCATATCATATAATTATAATAACGTAAAATTTTCGAACGAGGACGGATACATACGCATTTCACCATTATCACAAAATCATAAATATTACATTTTTAGGTATTTAATATGGTATTAAGCCTTATTTTAAACTATTGGTAAATCACTAAAGAACTTAACGTAATATGACTGAATCGTTGTTGTCCTATAACACAACAATTAAATGAACTAAAAAATCGAAATACTCATTTTATATAGTTTTGTAGCACAAAGAAGAAAACAGCTCACTAAGCACTAACCATTCCTTTCGAATCACTTAAAGGAGTCAAGGCCGTTAGCATGATGTTGATATTTTACTAATCGTATTTTGTAATTTGAACCCTTGAATTTGCGAACGTTAGACGGACTAGGGCACATTACAACTTAATATCTAAAAACATGCGAATCCAAGATAATAGGAAAATCCTGTACTTAGTTCTTTTTCATCTAGCGTGAAAATGCGCGGGAATTTTGACAGAACATCAACAGTCATGGCGGAGACTCGATCATGATAATATCACACGAAAACCTACCAAATTCGATGGATTAGCGAATTATTATTAAGCGCGGCTTAAACTAGCTCGTGTGCGAGTAGCCGGTGTTCGTGTAGGGCCCGCTGTAGAGCGAGCTGCCCGTTCGCGAGTAGGTCTTCGGGTTGCGTCTGCGTGCCAGTATGAAAGCGATGGCGGCTATTACGCATATCATCAGTATAACGCCGGCGATGCAAATGCCGATCGCGAAGATACGCTGCGATATGCAGATTTCGTCTTCTTTCTGAAAACATAACGTGTATTTATTTACATTGTTTGTTGCGAAGTTGAGAAGAGTTACTTCACTTTTTTAACATTTATTACTTCACTCATTCATAGGGTTAGATATGAATTTGCTAACGGATTTCGTATGTTTCAAGTAGTTCGATATTCGACGATGCTCATTCCATCTGTTACTTTATACTTGCCTTCTCGCTGGTCACTTCGTCGTTCTCCAGCGAGTCGGCTTCGTTGACGTACAGGCCGGAAAACACCTCGATTGTCGCCGGCTCACCCTCGTCCGACTGACGACGGAGACGCTTGCCTTTTTTGTGTGCACACGGCTCCTGAAAAGGAAGAAAATGGCGCTATTAATGATAACACATACAGTGATTCTCAACCTTTTTTTTGTTGCGGCACATATTAAACGATTTCAAAATTTGGCGGCACACAAAGAAAAAGATAAAAATTATTTACTTACTACAACACACTGCGTAAATAGTTTATGACAAAAATTTTAAATATACGAAATAAACTAATATATACTACAATAATAACTAAACGTTTATTAAGGGATTAATTACAATTACGTAATAAAAATATTTTTAATGCGAAATTTGAGCTTGATGTTTTTTGATAATTTAATTTATATTTGGTCGTAAAAATGACAATGCTACTCTCATATCGTCTTCTACATTTAACAATCTTGATCTTTTTTTAGTTTTAATGTTGGCTAATGCCAATAAATATTTTTCTTTTTAAATGATATAATTTAATAATATTAACATTATTATATATTTGAAAAATTTGGCGGCACACTTTTGAAATTTGGCGGCACACAAAAGTGCCGCGGCACAGTGGTTGAGAATCACTGGATTACAATATCACATACAAAGTAGATATGAAAAAGTAGGCATTCAAATTACGGAAATTGGTGTAATTTCCCTTCTGTTCGGTACGATTCTATATATCTATTGTCGATAATGTTTAAAAATATAGATGACGCATGTCCATACTGCGTGGCGTTTAAAAATTATTCCGCTTACTAAATTATTATTAGAATATGACATATAATGTAAAGCGGAACAATTTTTCTCTTCGAAGGATGTTGAAAATCTTTGGCCTGTATGGAAATGGCATCAGTTATACAGTAAAAAACAACTTTGGCCTGCATGGAAATGGTATCAGTAGTATCAATGGTATGCACAGTAAAAAACAACTTTGGCCTGCATGGAAATGGTATCAGTAGTATCAATGGTATGCACAGTAAAAACAACTTTGGCCTGCATGGAAATGGTATCAGTAGTATCAATGGTATGCACAGTAAAAAACAACTTTGGCCTGCATGGAAATGGTATCAGTAGTATCAATGGTATGCACAGTAAAAAACAACTTTGGCCTGCATGGAAATGGTATCAGTAGTATCAATGGTATGCACAGTAAAAAACAACTTTGGCCTGCATGGAAATGGTATCAGTAGTATCAATGGTATGCACAGTAAAAAACAACTCACACAGTCCGTGGGGTGGTTGAGGTCACACAGTTTGACCTCGCAGGTGTAGTAGACGCTGGCGGTGTATGGGAACTTGTGGGCTGGGAAAGACACACGCGCCTCCCGACGGTCGCGGGAATACTGGAACTGGCCCATGATCTCGCCGTCTAACGGACATCTGGGCCACAAATTGTTTTAGAAAAGTGTTAACTTTATAGTAACCACTAAGATGATGAAAAGAGTGTATGTGCGCTTTAAATAAGTTACGAACGATAACCATAAATGTTCGTTAGGTATTGTCCTTTGGTAAAGGCTATCTTTGATACTGTCGTGGTTATCGACTTCAAATATCTCACTCATTACACATATGCTATTTGATTTTGAGGAGAACCCTGATTTAATTTCAGAGACCACGTTTGAACACCAATGAAAACTTTTTGGTTTTTCGTACATCGTTTGGAATAAATGTTCAACAGTACATTGTGATATACTTTAGTATTAATCAACGGTTAGATAATTTTTTATAAATAGCTAGCCGTTATATGTTGCTGTTGTTTTCTTTTGTCCTTCAGCGGACAACCATGCCAAGGTCAGGATCATATGTGGCAAAGTTGTCAAACATGCTGGCACCTGAAGCTAAGCGAATACCGCGGCCCATTGACATATACGACATACGGTGGTTTGCAGATGCGTTGATATTGATGCCTTTGTTTTTTTGTTGGGCCGGGTAGCTACACTTTTTTAGTTAGTGAACTTATGTTGTTTCTGTTGCTATGTTTGATAGAAACAGAGATTCTGTGTGCTTCGAGAGTATTCCACGGGGCCTTACCCATCGTCTGCGATGAGGCTCTGTTCGGCCCAGCCCAGTCCGTCGCGCACAGCGCACTCGGACACTAGCAATCCAAAGCGGCGCTGCTTCTCAAGCGATACCAACAGCGTTAGGGTGTCTCCGATGCGCACGTTAGACGCCACCTGCAATTACACAGTAATAATAAATAAAAATCACATGGTCATTTATTTTTTTTGATTAATTTTTATATAGTCTCTGCTCTCAAGATGAATATTTGTTTAATGGAATGAATTTTAAATTAAATGTACATATTATATTTTTGTGTTATTTAGTGTAGTAACTTTTGTGCCTGTGTCAAAATGTAATGAAGAATAGGGTGGAAGTCACTATTGAGGCAATCTAGCCAGAACTTAGTTCAGGCCATTCACATTCACACGGTATTTCATAGCCCTGTTGTCTCGAGCTCATAGAATATGGCTATGGGATCCCCTGCGTATCGCAAAAGGCGAATAAAACGAAGCACCTTTAACGGATGGATAATTACACGGACCCATGATACAAAAAGGAAAATTCGATTCACCTAATAAGAAATAAATTTTATATTTTGACCATAGATTAATACAATTTATGTAAATGCTTTTAAGCTGCATGCATTACATCAAAAGTTGAACTTTGTGTTAGATATACAATAAAGGAAATATTAGACATAAAAATGCACTGTATTCATAATATTACAGCTTTTCACCTGTTTATCCTTGGGGTCACCTTTGTAAATTTTCATTGTAACTGATGGCAGCAAACCTGAATCTTCGTCGAACTCGTCACTGAAATTCAAATGTTATAATTTAAATTATGCGGATTTCACTAGGGGACTGGAAAATCCTCGAGGTGAAAACATCAAATTTCAGGACACAAAATGCACCTAATTTTGCAACCATTATTTGTGTATAATCTTAGTTCCATAATACTCCAAAACGCTTATAAATATTACTTACCTCTATTTGTATATGAACAAAGATTATTAAAAAAAAAACTAGCGGACCGGCGGAAATAAAAAATTGTAGTGGATCGAATTGTGAATCTAAACCATTCTCGTCAACCAACCTCAAAAATCGGTCCAGACGTTTAGGAGGAGTTCAGTGACATACACACGTACAGAAGAATTATACATATATATAAAGATAGAGGTTGCCACGGCGACCGTTTCAAAAACTGCGCTATCAGGGCAGTCGAACTTACCGCGAATGTTATTCAGAAAATACCCGCTGAGATCCTAAAGTGTTCAAATACCTGTTATAACCGTCTCTGCTTGTCAGTCTGTCTGCGTGCGGACGGTGAAGATTGAACATGGTGAGGTCGCGTCGACGGTAGCGGCAGCGAACCTGGTATCCACGCCCCTGTCCGGTCACTAGGCGGAGGTGGGGCTGCACTATTATGTTGTTATAGTATTCCACCGTGCCGTCCTCCTGAAATCGGGGAATAATACTTAAAGATCAACAACAGTCTATTCCAATATTTGTCCGTCACAGAGACCTTCGCAGAATGCATATTTTGCAAGGAGCCCCTTTACTGATTTATTTGCAATGTGTTATTTATGACTTATTTAAAATAAATTGAGCCGTGATAGCGCAGTGTCCGGGTACTTGCCTTTAATTCAATATACTCGAGCAACCTGAGTTCGATTCCCGGTGCCGGCACCAATGAAGTGAAACTGATGAACTTTAAGCGCTGACTTATCAAGTACTCCGCGGTGAAGGAAAACATCGTGATGAAACATGCATATTTTCGAAATAATAACGAAAAAAATATTTTTCGAAGATGTGTGAAGTCCGCCAATTCGCATTGGGGCCGCGTGGTGGACTGTGCCCTGATACCCTCTGTATAGAGGAAGCCTTTGCCCAGCAGTGGGACATGTGTAGGCTGTTACTTTACTTACTTTTTTTTTTAAATAAATAGATTAATTATACCTCAGTTCTTCTTCCGTTATGCGTATGAACTAGTTAGAGGTTTATTAATAATCATAGCAGAAATATTATGTTGGAATGATGCTAGAAATTTTCTGCGGTAACCTATAAAAACCTTTGAAAACACCTTAAAGATACTCCATAATTGCAACTATGTTCATTAATTTATCGCGCTTACGCGATAAATCCCTAAAAATAGTTTCATTTAGTACTAATGTGTATCGTGTAAGTACGATTATATGAAATAATGATAAGAAATTATAAGAAATTATCATCCATAAGTGTTTCCATAAAAGTACATCAGCCCTAGTGAACGAGACAAAAAGATCAACCAGTCATGTGTAGAAGGTGAAAATGTTTAATATTGAAGTGGAGACACGTAGGATGCATTCCCTTTTAAATGTCAGGGGCGCTAATTAAAAGCGATTCTGGCGTGGAATCAAGCGAATGAATCTTTTATTAAATAAAAAGTAAGTTACTAGTATAAATGTGAGATGAGAAAAGGCTGGTCTTGAAAGATGATTCAATTTACCGGAAAATTGACAACTTTAAAGTGTAGCTGTGTGTACTGCTTCCCAGTAAACAAAAACATGAAAAGTTAATAAACAAAGTTAACAGTTTTCTAATACTGTTTACTTCCATGTAAAGCGATTACGCTCACCACTTTCTATATTTGTAACTTAATGCACTCAAAGTTTTATTTTATTAATATTTCCTTTTATAGACAGAGGACGTGACGCTTATGTTTTACTATAGTTATACTGTTTCTTTATTGCTTTAATCAATATACCAATCCTTGAACATAAGTTCTAGGCAAATAATTAAAACTGTCAGCAAAATTAAACAACATTTTGAGCTTTATTTGGTACCGAAGATTCAAACCAATTTTTTTGTAGACTACTTATAATGACTCACAAGAGTCATTATAAGTAGTCTACAAAAAAATTGCAATACACAAGTACCGAAAAAAAAGTTTATTCGTTTAGATAATTGAAGCTTAAATAACTTACACCCCTCTATACTATAACAACGTTAATTCTAAGTCATTGGTTAATTTACAGGTCATTTCCCAAATTGCTTTGAAAATCAAAGGAAATGTTTTATCTGTAAGTATAGCAAAGCTGTCCACATCGCACCTAGATGAAATAATATCAAAAATGTTTGTCTACTTGGATATTGCTTAGAGGCTACTGTTACGACATAGAGTGGGTGGACACTAAATAAATAATCTTCATTATAGCTTTGCCATACAAATATAGACACTGTTTAATGTACGAATATTTGGAACGGTTTCGATTTACCTTGAGCCGCTTCTCTCTTGTTTTGGTTTAACTCTAGTGTTACTTTTTTAAATATTTTTATTTTATTTTAAGTTAGCAAAGAAAATTTTACTCTAATTGTAATTAAATTCGTTTAAACGACCAATGTTAGTCAAACACTTGCTGGAAGCTTAGTCAATGCGACAAAAAGAATATAAAATCACAATGGTTCTGAATTATAATATCATATTTTAAACTTTTATTATAAAATCAATGTTCTTACTTTTCTCTTCTTACTTTTTTAAAAAAGACTAGCTGACAAAATGACAAGATGACTTCTTTAGAATTTCCGTAAGTCTCCATTTTGTTTGATGATCTTTTGCCATCTCTCTGACAACTTGAAAATTCCACGATCGTAGAATGTCTGATCCTTTTCGGCCAAAAACTGAGTTAAGTGAGATTTTATAGCGTCATCATCATTGAAAGTTTTACCATGAAGGGCATTGTCCAGGGATCGAAGTAAGTGGTAATCCGATGGCGCTAGATTCAGACCGATATGGTGGATGTACCAGCAATCCCAACAATTAACAAATTCGATTCGGAAATAATAAAGCATAATATGGCGAATATGTTCATTTGTGTATTTCATATTAATATTGAGATACAAAAAAAATTTTGAAAATATCTACGCAATGAACTTGTAAAGAATGGTAAGGTTGACAGCTAATATATTATATAAGAAGAAGATATCATAAAAATGGGAGTGAGAAACATATACACAAATCCATTGCCAACCTATTATAATGACAGAAATTTACAGTTATTTCCAACAATTTACAATTGCAATGTAACAATACTCAAAAGGCTATGCTCGGTATTTCTCTGCGTGATAGAGTTCGTAACGAAGACATCCGCAGTAGAACTAAGGTGACCGACATAGCTCAAAGGATTAGCAAGCTGAAGTGGCGGTGGGCCGGCCATATAGAGTTGTATAGGATGTTACAAATTGTTTCTTTTTTATTTAATTAGTTTGTTTAAAAATATATTTTTTAATTATGGATTTTTTAACGTTTTATATTTTTTTACGATTATTGGCAAGTCGCGTTAGACGTGTGTTGATTTATTGTTGCGATTTTAACGACACGTTGTATATAAATTAATATACTGTACTGTTTTATGACTGACAAATATTTCTAGTGCTAATCTCTGCGATCAATTCAAAACTTCAAATGTATTTTTTTTTACATAAATAGACAAAAGCTCGGTGCTGCGGGTTTCGAACCTTTGTCTTTCGGTTAACGAGCTGTAATAATTTCACTGATGGCGAGAGTCACTATTTCGAATTCAACTCACTGATGGCCGTTTCCTTTCCGTTTTTACGTGTAAGTGGGGTGTTCCGCGGGCGGGATGTGACGTCACCTGCGCTATTGTTACGTCCTCGTCGCCCGCGCACGTTTTGGATCATTTTTCATTGGAAGTACGAGCCATATGGCGCCGCTTAGCTAATGGTTAAAGCCCCCTATCTGTCTGGAACATAGTTTGACGCCTAATTGACGCGATTTTTTTTTTTCTGGACGATTTCTTTATTTTCTGTATTATTTACCTGAGCATAAATGAATTCAAGTCGAATATAAAAAAAGTACTCTATACAAAGTCAACAATTGGTTGTGTCGGCAATATTAAATATCCTTTGGCTTCATAATAAGTTTAGTTTCAGTTCATAAAACACCGATGTACGGTTGATGTACTTATGTTGACAAAATATAATTCTGCTCTATAAATAATTTTTTCATACGTTTGGAAAGTATATCTTGAAATATTGTACTCTTTAATTTTTTTGTTTTTAATTAAAAAAAACATTGCCTAACTTTAGGATAACACAATCCTGTGTTGTGGACAAACATCCAGATGCGAGACAACTATCTGTGGGTCTCACAAATAGCTGTCCCGTGTGGGGATCAAACCTGACCCCCGACGCTGAAGCCAATACCTTGGCAACTGCGCCACGGAGTCATCAAAATTAGCAAATTTTGATGTGACTATTTCCCACATCAATATTTCATAATTTTGTGTTATCATTTCTCCCAAGATATGATGTATTAGATTCAGTGACAATCAGTCCGTTATTTTGATTCTACGTTCGGAGATTTGTTTTTTTTTTTGGAAAAAGGAGGCAAACGAGCATGCGGGTCACTCCCGCCCATAGACATTTGCAACATCAGTTGAGTTGCAATTGCGTTGCCGACCTTCAAGGTAGGAGTAGGCTCTCTTCTTGAAGGTCCCTAAGACGCATACGTAAGTCAGATGTTGGCTGATAAATCGTAAAAACGAACGTAGCCGATGTTAGATGTAGGTTTTAGCGGTTAGTTAGTTAACGCGGTGAAATTGTAATATTATTAGTACTCTATCGGACGCTTTATTGTTGAAATTTGATAATGGCAAGTTTAGAGAGCCACACCAACTTGGCTCGGGCCATATGTGGGTGTGCCCACACGGTCCGACCACGCACCCGGTGCAAGGCCGCCGCCAAAGGTCACTTGTTTCTTTCCAATACGCGCACACGCAGACAAGCTCCTTTTTAATATCGCTCTAGTTTGTTTAGTTCGACAAACCTTGCAACATCGGAATGACTTTTGTCGTTCATGTTTGTTTCTAAATAGCCTTTATGATTTGAAAAACCCGATACTAGGTCGCAAGTCCGGGATTTGAATATTCGTAAAACATGCGTATGCAAGTTTTGAGTCTTCTATTAGATTTCTTAAATCCATACTTTCATTTGTAAATAAAATTATTACGGATGTCATCGAGTTTAATTGTCGATTAAATTTTTCGAAGTTGTGTAATGTGCAGTATTCGCGTAAATCCAAGAATTCATGATAAATAGTTTATAAATTAAAATACTATAATTGTTCATAAAGAAAAAAAAATGTATAGGCCGTATATAATATAAAGGTAGTAAGTTTAGATTGACATTTGAGGCGTTCTGGTAGGTTCATATAAATTAAAATGTATCGAACATATTCCATATTAATATCAAATACCTTATTGACGGTTACGGTGAAGGAATTGTGTCAGGTAACAAACTGATTCATAATTGTCTCTTTCTATCTTAAATAGCTGTCAATTAAATAAAAATGTAAGGCTGTTTAAAAAAAAGATAACTAGTGCGGGAGTTTTGAATTAGTAACCCACATTTCCTCGTAACAGCGTAATGTATTGAGTAAAATAAGACGACCAAATTAG